TCACCTGAGCTTGGACTTGGATTTTGGATTCCATGCCATTCCATTCCAATCCCGCCCCCTGGAGCAAGGCAAACTTTTCCACCTCGTTGGGTCATGCAGCGCGTATTTGTGTCATGGCATATTTCCCCAGCAGCGAGGTTGAGTTTTCCCCAATTTTTTGTTTTGATTTTTTTTTGTATTTTGTGCCCGGCATTCTTTCCTCTCGTTTGTAGCATGCCCCAGATGCTTAAGGCTTGTTTCAGGCAGCGACTTGGCCGCATATTTGCAGCTGCACCACCGCCAGCTACCCAAGCCTGCCCCATAATGCCGCACATATTTCGGTGTGTGCAAAAGTTGAAATATATTTCATATTTTACTTGGGCTCGGGGAGTTACGCGCTCTCTCTCTCCCTCTTAGCTGTACTGCATGGCGTATACGCAATGTGTGTTGAGCTCCTTCTTAAGAGTGCAATAAAATGTTTTGTGCTCTGGCCAAAACTTTTGTTTCAGCTTCGACTGCCATGGAAAAACTGTTTTTGGGAAATACTTTTGCCGCTGAGTTTTTAGTTGGATTTGCAGTTTTGTTTCGCACTGTTCGCCTGTCCATGTGAAAAGTGTCGCCGAAACGCGCATTAGACACTTTTCCCGGATTCGCCAATGCCATGGCGATAAATGGCATCCAGATGGCAGTTAAAGTTTTCGGGCTTGCGAACTCCAACCGAGGTGGCAAACTCGTTCACCAGCCAAAGCAATTGCTGTTTGAAAGATTTTGATGATGAGGGAAGCACAATTGATTCACTTGAAAGTTGGCTGAACCACAGTCCATAAAGCATTCGTAGGATTCGACTGCAAATTGGAAGAAAAGCAATAAAAACATGAAGTAGAAATATAACATAACAAGAAAGGAAGCTAGCTGCGGCTAGAAGAAGCTTATATGACCTTTTCACCGATTGTTCCTATGACAGCTATATGATATAGTCGTCCGCTTTTCATGAAATATTATTCAAAATTCAATACTTTTTAGAAAACTCCATATCCAAAAAAATTGTCTTTGTACCCTTGCAGAAGGTATTATAACTCCAATCAAAGTACTATAATTTTAATCAAAGCTTTGCAACGCAGGGAAGCATATTTTTTGAAATTTCGGTAAGGGGTTGTATCATAAAAATTGAAAACAATCGGCCAAAAATATAAAAATTCTAGTGATGCAGTTGGTTGAAGAATCAAAATAGAATTTTTAAGAGGTATGCCATTTCAAAATCGGACTAAAATTGGAAAAGTTATGAACTTAATATAAGTAAAAGCCAAAATAAAAAAATTTTAATGATGCAGTTCGTTGGGGGATCAAAGAACAAACTTTTTGAGGTATGCCGCTTCCCCTTTTAGACATTATTGGGAAAGCTATTTTTGGCTATTTGGCCACCCTTCAAAAATTGGCTGCCCATCCGCTCTCGGATTCTTTTCCCATTTTAGCTCAAACAAATGGGTTCAATCATATTTGCATCACTTTAGACAAATTGAATACCAAGCTCATTTGTAAGTTAGCCAGCATCCGGTGGAAACAACCCGAAAACCGGGCAAAGCAAGATAAATGTTTTCTGTGCCAGAAAACTACTTTTGCAACGACTGACACAGTGAGTGTAATAAAAGTCAAACGTGGTCGCTTTTGTGAGCTAATAAGACGAGCACCGGATATGAGAAACTCGGATACAGATACAGATACAGCTAAAGCTTCAGATACAGATACATTTACACTGATGCAAGGGGAGGACACAAGTCCTTGGCTAATAGATCATTAGTTAGCAGTTGTGTGCTGTTCTGTGACCATTTTTGGGGTTGCCCGGCATCTCCTAGCTATTTGGATATTTATTGCAGGCGTAACTGTAATTTATTGGCCAACATTTGTCATGCGAGCTGTAAAGATTTTGGTAGCAAACTCCCCTTCGAGTATATTCTGCATGTGAAGTATTTGATAATTATGTCATTGCGAGCTCACACGAACTCTTTCTGGCTTCAAAGACATTTTAATATCCAGGGTGGATGATGATGATGCCGAAACTTTACCGCTGATGATAATGTTGATGACAACGTTGTCGACGACGCGGGGGGCGCCACAAAAAAATAACACTCACTTCCCGATAAGACAGTCTACGAGTATCGAACGAGCAAACAAAGCCCCACCAAGTCAAAGTGCAATGCAGCATAAAAAATGCAGCGATGGGAAAGTGTGGGACGACTTGGCGGAAAATGGGAAATGGTTATGGAAAATGGGTCTGGGAAATGGGGAGCAGACGCGTCGAGTGCATTGACAGCTGACAGCAAAGAGGCTGAGCAAGTCCCGAGTTATGCATACGAGCTCTTCCAAGGGAGGGGAAAGGAAAAGGAAAAGGACCAGGGAGTGTAAGTGTGAGGGAAAGGGGTGCTCCATCTGCCGAGGGGTTGCTTTCTTTTGCGAAATTGCTTGTTTACTTCAAAGCAAGCAATTCCTGTAGCATCAGCTGCGTCATGGCGCAAAACAATGCTGTCAACTTGGGCGTTGCTGCCATCGTACGGCTAAAAAAGTGGCAGAAATTCAGGCCATGTAACGAATACTTGAATACTCATTTAAATAGGGAAATGAATATCTACATAGAAATACAGAATTATTTACTAGACCAAAAAGCTATAATAAGCAATGATAAGTGCTTTATAAAAAATGAGTAACATAATATAAAAATCATTTTTATATAAATCATAGTGAATATTAAATCGTTGGTTTTTACGTTTTTACCCATAATTGTGAATAAGTTTACTAGTAAACAAATATCTCAAATAATCCAAAAGGCTCCATATCCAGCAAATTACTGGGTATAAAGAAGCAACAACAATGGCTACGATTTCTGGTACAAAGAGCGAGTACTTGAGACTTCCTCGAGGTCCCCAAGCTCTGCCGAGTGCCCCGCCGGATATTGCTAGGGAAATTGATTGAAAGTTTGAGCATCTTAAAAGTAATGGTAATGAGATTGTTTTGCCTGCACTCGCATTGCTCAGATGCTCAGATGCTGAGATGCTCGAATGCTCGGATGCAGCCAACATGTGATGGGCCTCATAATCCCCGAGTGCAATAATTATAAATAGTGCTCGAAAGTGCGGGGCTGTGAGTGCTATTAAGAACTGCCTGGCTGCGTTTCGCTTTGCTTTGTGGATGTTCTGTCAAATGTTATAAATACGCCTGCATTATGCGCCCCGATTCTGATGAATGGGTGTCCAACGAGCCCGAGAGTTTCCTCCCAGCCTCCCAGACGCCCAATCGAGCTCCCTTGGCCAGGATAAAGTGACCTGGTTGCCATCGAACGGTGTTTGGTCCTCGCTTGTTCTGCGCATAACAAATGGCCAGCAGATAACAATGGATGGTGGGTACAAAAGCGAAGAGGAACCATCTGAAGGGTTGTTCAAGTGCGGGCCAACCAGCCATCGAGGGAGCCTGATTGAAGTCCTGCCACATCCCGTCGAGAACGGATCGATGGCGGTTATAAATATGTATGGATGTGCTGAAAAAAGTTTATTTATTTTAAAGAATAAAGCGGCTGCTTTATTGAAGGGCTTTCCTTTACGGAAAAGTCTTTCTTAAAGCTCCACTGCCTTGGCAGCCATCAAATGTGCGCACTTCGGAAATATGTTTAATTGACCGTAGACTTTACAGTTTTTAATTTTGCCAAATCTGTCAGCAAAGCAAAAAGCCAACGACTTTTTCTGCCTGATAAAAGGCGGCACATAAATTACTCCGGAAGGAGTCTTTCAGAGCTGTCGGACTACAAAGTGACATATGAAGCAGTCCAACAACCGAACACTGTCTCATTTTACACTTTTCAAAGAAAAGTTAGCTTTCAATTTATTGAAAGAAAAAAGGATATAAAAGAGGATCTTGCTAGTAAATAAACAAAATATGTATAAGTAACTGCAACTCTACATAGATCTTTTTAAAACACTTAATATATTGAATAGTTAAAATATATGGTTTCCACAACAAATGTTTGACAAATTGGCAAATCCATAATCTTGGATATTAAATCCTACTTTGAAAATGTCTTTTAGTATTTTAAAAATGTATGTTTAAAGTGTATCTCCGCACGGACTCGTTATATTTTTGGGCTGAAGCTTCATTTGCTGTCCGTCTAGCAAACCTAGTATTCCAGTCTCCTATTCTTCCCATTCTGCCAGCCATTGTGTGTGTGTGCTTTTTAATTTTGGACCGAGCGAAACAAAGTAACGCAAATACTTGGCAAGACAGTGAAAACGAGCGTAGAGCGAAATCAGGAGCTTCCCGGGCAGCTTGTCAAACATGACCATTGCCATCGCCAGGCCACAAATCCATGTGATGTCTCCTGATGTCGTCTTATTTCTCTTAGATCTACGCTTCGCTGCACATGCAAACGTTTGCCAAAAAGGAAAAAAGCCACGATATAGAAGGAAAATGAGGAAAGCCAAATGGAAGAGATGTTTGTACCCCTCACGCAAACATACACACACACATGCCGAAATAACTCATACACCATGTCGTCGCTTGTCCTCGCCTGTGTCCATTTGAGTGCACAATTTGAAAAGGCTACTTGCCTCGCTTTTGGCCTTGGGGCTTCCGCTGCAAGAAGACGCCAGCAACGTTGCATTGTCAATTTATGTCCGTCAGTGTGGGTGTGTCTTGCTACACAGGGAAAATTATGAAGTATAGTTTAAATAAACAATATTGACATTTCAAATTAATATAAACAATAAACAAAAATTTATTTCTTACAATTAATTATTCAATTTTTGATATTTTCTGTACATACCTTATAGCGAAGAAAAGAAATTTTTCTCTGTGCATTTGTGTGTGTGCATTAAAATGGTTGCAATTTTGCTGCAGTGAAAGCCTTGTCGCTAATGGGCCGAGACTTCTTTTGAGCCCTCATCGCTGACTGAAAAGGGATAATACTCGTCCTGCCAAGGCAGACATCTGAAATCTACAAAAAATCTGCAAGCCCACTCTTAAAGAAGGAAAATACTTTGCTTTTCATTGAAATTTTGTATGGATTTATTTGGTTGAGTTCATTCAGTTGTTTGCTGTTCAGTTTGTTTCTCGTGTCTCAAGTTATTATTGTATTCCTTGTATTCATTGGGAAAAGGGAGGGGTATTTTCCATATCATTTTTCGAGTGCTTAATCGTAACATACATTCATAATTCATTTGTAGAGTATATGCCTTGCTTTAAACTAAATCATTAATATATTTTACAATTATCTTTGATGGCTTCATTTAGATGTTAAATTAGCTACACTTAGTTTAGATTCATATTGGTTGGAACACTTACATGCAGAAATATACGCATAGATGATGACCGACCTAAATATGTACGTTTGTTTGTTTGTTTCTTTGTATTTCATTCTAATTGATGTAAGAGAAATCACTTGTTTCTTTAGTTTATTTTTCGATTTTCGATTTTCATTCTTCGTCTCTTAACTAGCTTGAAATGGAAATTGCATTTGCCATGCTTGGCCATTATTCTTGTCTATTACAATTACAGCTCAACATTTTGTTTTACGCACACACTTTTAAAGGAGTATAGCTTTTCGTTTTGTTTGTGTGTCCACTTCTCCATTTATTAAACACAAATATTAAAATGTAACAATAATTTACAAGGTGCATTTATTTTCGGTTTTTTTTATACCCATTCACAGTTCAAACATTGATTTATACATTGAAGAGAAAAATACAATTTGATATATAAATGCAATTTACAAACAACAATTTTCCCCACAGTTTTCTTTTTCTGGTTTTTGTTAAATTTTTCTTTTCAAAGTTTACATACCAACGATAGGTCCTTGCTTTTTTTTTTTCTTTTTTGTTGGTTTGTTTTGTAATTTATAGTCTTTTGGAGTTTTTCGCATCGAATGTGCAACTAATTTACATTCATTAGCTTGCTGCATTTCTGTTTGATTTGCTTTTGGGCTTTGTAAAATAAATTTGATTTACGATTTTGCTATTTACACATTAATACTTAGTATTCATTTATGCTAAGCTAATTGCAGCTAATTTGCTTGTGTGTGTTTAGGTGTAAGTGTTCGGTTTTATTTATATTGTTTATCATAGATTCGAATAATGTAATTTATTTTCAATATAATTGCCAAGAAGTTGCGCCTTCGCATTGCTCGCCTATTTTTGGTTGAGTGAGTGTGAGCTTAAAGTCTATTATATCAAGGATATACTTACTAAATATAAACTAGATTCTTGCATTCATTGAGCTTAATTTCTAGAGATTGCTATGCCTTACTGGCCAGCTGACATTTACAAACATTTACAAAGTCTCCTTGAAAAGGTAAATTATCTTTCTCGTTTATGTGAAGTAATCTTCTGAAAAAATATTGCACAGACTGTGTGTCCATATGAGTACTTACTGTAAGGAAGGAACATTCTTCTTCTGCTGCATCATTCTCTTGCTTCAACTGCGCCAAAATAAGTCCGCAAATCAAACCTTCTCAACTGTTTTAGAATAACTTTGCATTTACATAAAAAAAAAACTTCTTCAAATCAAAATTTAAAAAAATATATGATATTTCCTGCCTATTGTTGGTATTTGGTTTTAATTTGTTATATTTTTGCTTTATTGATAAAATAACTACTTGCCACATCCAGGAATAACAAAAATTGCTTTGTAAAAGCTTATAAATTGAAACTTAAAATAGTTTAATGATTAAATTTTTAGTTATATTACCTATATACAAGTGAAACTTATGGAACAAAGTTTAATTGAATTTTAGTGAATATTTTTCTATATAATTATCTATAGTGGTAAGTTTGAAACAGTTAAATAAAATTATATTCAGTCTATTTTAAAACACAAAAACAGTATTGGTAAAATTTAAAAGAAAAAATCTTATAAGGTAACTATAATATTTAGCAAATTATTATGTACAAGAAATAGATTCAAAAGTTACCAATTACATTTTCAAAGAGTTCTGTGGTCTAAATTAAATTTTTAAGAGGTTAATGTGACAGCTTCGTAACAAGCCTTTGATTTTAAAAATAATCAGTTCCTCCGCGAGCACACAAACGATTCACTTCAATTCTCTTGAATGCCGTACCTTTAATTCAATTCGTTTTGGCAAAACTTAGCCTAGAGACACCAACCACGAAGAGCTCAGGACTTACATGACTAGTAAATCGGGTAGATTTTGGGGGAGTGGGGTTCTGGAAAGCCCCTTGCTATGGTATAAGGGTCCTTAGACGCAGCTCTCCTGCTGCGAGTACATGAGCGGGGTGCGAACGGTGACTATTTCGCGGGAGTAGGACTTGCCCACGCCCGAGAGTCCCGAAAGGGAACTGCTGGGACTGGCAACAGCCGCCGTTGTGGAGGCCAGTCCGCTGCTGTTGCTGCTGACCATCATTTGGCCATGGGCCATCTGCTGCTGGTTCTGCTGGTGTTGCTGGTACGAGGGCGGCATGTTGGGATGCGCAGGATGGTGCAACTGCTGCTGCTGCTGCTGTTGTTGCTGCTGCATCATTTGCATCACTGAAGCGGAGTTCTGCGGACCTGCCACTCCGCCTCCGTGATGATTGTGTGGCAGAGTGTGGTAGCCACCTGGATGCTGGGGCAGGGTGTACATCTGCACCGTTCCCGGCGACACCGTTGACGGGGTGCCGTGCGAACCGGGCGAGGAGATGCATGCCCCGCCCCCCGCTGACACCACACCCGCAACACCGCCGGCCGTGTCCACCTGCATCGTCTTGTACGCATCGATTTGCGCGTATATCGTCGGCTCCTCAAAGTAATCGTAGTCGTAAGTGGGCGGCGGAGCGTGCTGGTGCGGATGTTGCATGCCACCCGCATTCGGCTTGTGGCGCTGCAGCGTCGCCGTTCCCGGAATCGTCGGCAGCAGCTTTCGCATACTCGACCCGTGCGGCAGGGTGCCACCCATCAGGGGGTGCGGGTGCTGCACCTGCTGCACTTGCTGCTGCTGCTGTTGCTGCTGTTGTTGCTGCTGCTGCACCACGCCCACACCCGGCTGCCCCTTTTTCGAAGCGCCACTGCTGCCGGACGGCATGTTCGCCAGCGACAGCTCCGCGTAGTGCAGCTCATCGTCCTGCGGGGGAGAAATTGGCCAGGCATTTAATAAACTGTCATCAGGGAATTTCCGGGGACTTAAAAAAGACGCAAATCGATTTCAATTTACAGTCAAAACCAAGCTAGGGAGCCCTCAAGAAATATTTTTGTGGAACAAGAAAGGATTGTCATTATTAACAGTTCTCATTTAGTTTCAACCCTGAAAATATATCTAAAATTCTCTTAAACTGATTATTTTTTAAAGAAATTCAAATTATTTAATTTAAATTATTCTCCACACAAATTAGTTCTCAAAATAATTGCCTTATTTTACCAACCCTAAATTAAATTGCTTTCAAAAACATTAACCAGAATTTCTTGGAAACATGTTACTCAAACTCAAAATCAAGGTACTTGTCAAGCTAATTACAAGCCACACGAATTTCAATTACTTTTAAAAACAAGCAATTTGGCCTTCCGAGAAACAACAGGCGACTACAACTAAGATAACTCCTTTTCCCCAAAGGTAAAGCCAAATGATTCTTTGCCAACTGTTTGGCAGCAGGGCTAAAATTACAAGTTTATTTTCTAATCTGGCCCAAATTGTTTTCAAAAGCATTAGGGGTTTTCGCAAGAAATTTGCGACATCAAATCAAAGAATTTGTCATGGCAATCTGCCCAGCACTCGGGGGAGTTCGTCATAGAGTAGTTCGACTGTAATTAAAACTTTTCGTTGGCCAAAAAGTTTTGGACCGTCGTCGTCGTCGTCGTCGTTGTCGTCGTCGTGGACTTACCTTGCTGCTCTGATAGGTGCCACTGTCCGCCGAGTTGGCTTGGCCGATTCCGATTCCGGTGCCGGATGTTGAGCCCGGCTTGCAGCTGATTTCCACCTCGCTGGTCGTCGAGAGATGTCCCGATGGCGTTTGTGTTGCTGATTTTTGTTTATATTCACCATCAACTGGGTGGCCAATTTTTTCCGGGGGAAGAGAACGAAACAGAATGGAGAACGCTTAGTTAGTTCGCAAAGTTTGAGCTGGTCGCCGTTGCTGTTTTCTCGTTGTTTTTTTTTTCTTTGTTGTTGTTGTTAAGTAGCAAGGCAAAGTTTTTGGCCCGGCCGACGCCCTCAAATCTTTTGGTGATTTTCGGAAGTAAGTTTTCTTCCTGCCCAATTTTCCCTACCCGCCAGCTTCCATGGCTTTTCTCTTCTTATTTTTTTTGGCCATGAAATTGCTTTACGTTTGGAAAATTGATTAAATTGTTGTGCTGTACGAAGCGGAGCGGAGTTGAGCTGAGCTGGGTTGCTTCTGCTTTTGGCTGCCGCTTGATTTCTTGATTGCCATTAATCAACCGAGCACGTGCAGTGAGTGAAATTGGCGCTGCTTTGGCCAAAACTCTCCCCGTTTGCCGTTTAAAAGGGTCTTTAAGGCCCTCGACTGCAGACACACGAGCAAACAAGCTAACCGGCGAGGACCTGACAGCAATTAGCTGTCATTTAAATATTTCAGCGCTGGCACAAAAATGCAGCCAGCTCTTGAGGACGAACAGGACGACGCCTTTCGAGTCCTGTTTGTTTTGCCTGCATGGCCCAGCCGGACGGCCTGTCAAATGCATTTGCATAAAGGGAAGCCTCAAGCCAGCCAGCCAGCCAGCCAGCCAGCCAGCCAGCCAGCGTCCATAAATTGTGAACAGAAGCCAGGGGCAGACACCATTTATCTTGAGGGGACACCAAAAGGAAGAGGGAGTCGCACTCGGGAGTAGGAGTTTCAAATCCTGGAACCGGGAACCAGGAACAGGGAACTTACCCTCATTGTAGGGCACAACATCGGGATTCTTCTCGTCGTACATCTCCTCGGAGTGACTCAATGGCAACGAGATTTTGTCCTTAATTTGCAAATTGCCCGGACGTGAGAATTTCGCATTCGGATGTACGAATTTCTGCTGCTGCTGGTGCTTGTGCGAGCGGAGCTTCAGAGCGGCAATCGTACCAATGCCAATGCACACGATGGCCACCAGGATGCCCACGAAGATGCCAATCGACAGGATCGGCGTCAGCTCGAAGTTGTCGGGACTCTGGGCACTGCCCTTATACGAGGTCAAGGCAACTGGAAAGACACATTTAGTTTATAAATTTAAATTACAACGTAAGTAAGGATTGACAGAATATATAAATAAATACAGCTCCACATATTCATTGATTTTATATACATCAAGTAAAAATATTATACAATAAAGAAAAAAATTACCTAATTTTAAGTAAATTGTATAAGTTTTATTGTATAAACATAGCTATTTTCCTGTGATTTTATTTCAGTATAACAAAATTCTTAGCTACGTTTCTGCGCCCTTTAAAATATGGCTTTCCATATTTATCCACCGTATTTATTCCTTTTCTTTCAATACCCCAATCGATTCTTATCTTTGCTCTGTGGTTCAACGAGTGGAAGTGGAGTTAATCTTCTTTTTTTCGAGCCAACGAATCCTTCTGAAATGCTGATCATAATCAAGCTTAACCTTTGCTCAGAGCATCCACTTTCTGACCTACCCAAGACAATTTTCTTTTCTGATTTTCATCTCTGGCTGCTCTCCTGCTATTTGGTATTTGCTTTGCACTTTTCCCCCGTTTGCCATAGCCCGCCTGACTTTATGAAAAATTGAAATGTCGGCTCAAGTTGTTTACACAAAATGTGACTGCCCCTCCGAGAACCTCTTCCCGTTTTTCGACTTCCTTGCCGCCCTCGAAGGGAAATGTACAAAAATGAAAATAAAATTCTTGTCAGCTCTTCCTTTGGCTAATTAGCATTACAATTTCCTTTTTCGTTTAGACTCCTTACCCTCAATAAAGAAACACTCCTTCCTCCCATTTTTTTTTTCAACCCCAATTCATTAATGCTAATCATTTCAGATTTTTTGCGCTACTTTGTGGGGGGAAGGCTGCATAAAATTTTGCGTTTACTGTTCCCAAACTGCAGGCGAAAGTTTTGTGTCGCGGAATTTACAATTCATTGAGCAGTTTAGCGTAATTAAATTGCGAGGTGGCATAATAATCATAAAACCCAGGGCAATCTTTCGCGTGAAACTGATACAGAGGCCTTCGGAGGGTCCGACTCGAATGCAAAGTTATGCAATTCGTTTCGTTGGGTGCGTAAAAGAACAGAGTTCCTATATTAGCATAAAAAATTCATAAAAAAATAAAATTCACTCTAAGAAAAAGAGTACGATTAAGGTAGAAATTAGGAAATAATGGTTAACAAGTTTGGATCTCTTAACTTAAGATTCTGTTACTATAATAATATATTATATTATTTGTAGAATTCTAAAGCTGTAAGTTACTCTTCTTTTTTACCTTTTGTACGTCTTGTCTAATTTTTGTATTCAAAAGGGATTAGTTTTTGTTATAAATTTATGTTTTTAATTTTTCTACAGTGTCTACTCCAACCATTAAAATTCATGACTTTAAAAGCTGGCACATCGTCACTTACCGGTCTGTTTTTCGGCCGCCTTGAGGGTGTATCCATCGAGGGCCACGGCATCACTGCGACCTCTTCCATTTACAGCATACACATAAATGCGGAACAGGCGGCCAGCATCCAATCCCGTAACGCTCAGGGCCGCGAACTTGGCACTGATGTTGGCCTGGAGCAGACCACTGTGCTGGTCAAAGACTTCCATGAGGAACCACTGTCGCATCCCGCCATCGAATCCTGGGGAAAAACAGAGGGGGAAACTCCGATTGCATAACTTGGCACGAACTGCGGCTTACTTAGCATATTGGCTGCGATTGGCAGTCGGCAGAGGGTCGGGAGATTGGGCTTATTAATATTAAGTAGTTGCCAATCGACTGCGGCTCTTATTTATACTTTGCTTAGGGATTTGACGGGATTTGTTGAAGGTAACGATTTATTTATGGCTGCGAATGGTTGGCCAGGATTTTGGTTTCGGGATTTCATTGATGCCCAGGTCAACAGACAAATGGTTTTATAACAAGCAAAAGTATTGCGTCGCAGGTTTACATTTTTGAGCTTTACAAATTAATCAATGAATTAATTACGATGGAAATAGATTGATTGCATATTAATATTTTATAAGTCCAGCAAAAACGCAGTAGATAAGATTTCTGTTTCTATTTTTGTAAATCCCAATTTTATCTCAAATGACGTTAATTATTACTGAAAACCATCCAACTAAAGGTCAGCTTTGAGAGGAGTTCACTGGTAATTGAAGGGCCCTAAACTCTTTGCCAACTGCCACCGAAATATGTATTTAGAGTAATCTAAAGTTACATTTTAAATGCCATTTAATCACACCACAAAAGAACTGGCCAAACCCACTCGAGCTCGCCCCTTTGGGCAGAGGGCAAAGAAGGCAGAAGCGTTCTTGGCCAAAAATAAGAGGCTAATGTTGGGCCACTTCTTCAGCGGCTGCTTTTGCTTAGCTTTGGCAGCTCAAATGGCACTTCATTGTAGACACAAAAGCCGACTTAAAACACTTGCGAAAAATGTTAAAATATTTTGTAATAAAGGCAGCGGCCAGTGAAAAGGTTTAGGACGGGTTCCGACCAACTACTTCAGCCGGGCAACACGCCCCCGGCTTTCGAGGAGAAATTGTTGTGGAAAATGTTTTATATGTTGCTATGAATTTTAGTCGTTGTTGCTGTTGTTGTTGGCCAGCTTTTTCAGCCACCCAAATTCGCCCACTCCACCCACACCATTCTCCCACCAAGAAAAGGGCACGGAAATAGAGTGAAGAGAATGTGCTTGGCCTTTGCCTCAAAGCATCATTGTTCGTCGGTTGGTTCGGTGGGTGGGTTGGCTCCATTCTTATTTTCCGCCCCCTTCAAGGGATCACCCCCCACCCCCATCCCACTCATTGTTGGCGGCCATTTTGTGCGCACTTTAAAACGTTTAGCTAATGAAATTTGCCGCAGCTCCGTTGTCAGAGGGAGAAAAAAACTTCATTGTAATGGGTTAATTTTATTTACCCGAGTACAGCAACAATGGAAGCTGGGCAAGTGAAGTAAAAATAATAAAACAAGAGCGACCAGCAACAGAAATAGCAGACCACTTTGAGAAATTAGTATTAATCATATGAATAATTTAAAAAATTTATAAAGAAATTTACGGTTAATTATATAGATAAGACCACATCATTAATATAATTTGTAAATAATTTAAAAATAAAGCATCAGAGGAATGAACATAAGACAATCACAATTTATTCCAAAACACAATTTCTGACTCCTTCCTAACTCAACATATATATTTTCAGTTTAGGTTTCCCTTTTAAAATATATTTTAAGAACACAATTTCTATCTTTAGCTTTCCCTGCTATAAAACGAAATTGTTTCCCAGTGCAGCATCATCGTCGGCGGCGAAACAAAATGTTATAAACTGAATTTTTATTATATTAAACCGACGCTTGATGAGTTTGGTTAGTTGCCGTTGCTGCTGGCCCGTCAGTTTGTTTTATTTTTTGTTCTGCGGGGAAAGAAAGCAGCAGTAGCCAACCGAACTTGGCCCCAAAGATGTGGAGTTGTCTTCAGCAGCGCACATTGGATTCAATTCGTGGCGGGAGCCACGGAGTTGGCTTAAGTTCAGTTCTGTTCAGTTTGAGCCAAGTTGAGCTGCGGCGACGGCCACGTCGAGTTGTGTTGGCCAAGTTGCGTGCTGGCTTATTAAAGTCGACCGCAGCTAAAGTTGAGTTATTATAAAAACAAACGACCAAAGGGCTGGGGGCGTTGGGTGGCACAGTGGAAGGGGGCGTGGCGTTTCAGCAGTCGTTCGCCTTAATGTAGAGTGCAATATAAAAAGTATCGCATTGTGTGCGCTACCCTGATCCTGATGCTGATGCTGCTGCTCTTGTGTTGTGCTTAAACAACTTGCGTTAAAGTTTTAATGATGCTGATGACTATGATAATAATGTGCAGCCACTAAATTAGCAGCCGGAGGGGCGGGAAGCGGGGGGCGTGGTTGTGGGAGTGATGCGGTAATAACGCGAACAATGGCTTTTTTAGTGGAGTAGGGTGGAGGTTCAGCTGAAGCTGCTTAAAGACATCGTTGCAGTGCATACGCAATGAAATTTACAGTGTGGTCATCAGCTATAAGTACGGTGGTGCCAACACAAAAAGAAACTAATAGATTTTGATAGGAAATTCGGTTACGTATTTTATTTTGCGGCTAACTATTTCGAGGAATTTGTTTCGTGTTTCTGGAAATTGGACAAAGGCTCTTAAAACTGTTTCTGAAACTGAAACTTCTTTAAAACTCTGAATTATATATAAACAACTCTAAACTATTTTTATAAAAAAACAATTAACACGTGTAACACATGGTGATCATTTAATTATCAGTAGTTTAACTTTAATCCCTTTAAGCCCAACTAAAACTACACATTAAAATGAAATATAAAATTTAATTACAGCCACAGTTGGTAACCCAGACATCATCTCAAACGTAAGAGAGCTTCAACATTTCCGAGGAGTCTCCTTAGTTGCAACAATGAAAGCGTCGGCAAAGAATTTCCGTGCATTTCGCCCTTCTGCAGCTCGTAGTAATGCAATTACACATTACGCATACGCCGGATGGGCAAGCACTTGAGACAACATTAAGTAAGCACAACAATTGCGATTGCCAGCAATTGGTGGAAAACATTGAGGGCTTTAAGCGGTGGAAAAAAAAAATAAAAAAAAAAAAAAAAATAGGGGAAAGAGGGGAAAAGCGGGGAAAGCGGCGTGCAACAAACAGTAACTGGAAAGAGCGCCATTAAGTATGCGTTATTATGCGCTTTTTTGTTGCACTTCTTGCAGCCGCCGCCTCGTTATGCCACGCTTTGATTTGCGTTGCCTTTTCGCAGGATCCGTTTGCCATTCCCCCTCTATTTTTTTTGCCACCTCCCCCTGTGCGTCTCCGGTTCGGCACTCAAGGGCTGCATAAATGCATCATAAGCTCGCAGGAGCTGCTGCAATTTGCAAGGACATTTCTCTGTCTGCGCTAATGTGCAACTCTATCGCAGCGAACTTTGAACTCGGGGACTGCAATTTGTGCTGCTTATTTTGCGCTTTGCTGGCATTTTTCTGTCTTTGCGTTTTCCACTCTTGTGCTGCGCATAAAATATGCGAATTGAATTTGTATTTAAAGTTTCCGCTTTCCTTCTGCTTCTGCTGCTGCTTCCTCTTCCTCTTGTCCTTGCTCTTCCTCTTGAAGGGGAAAAACTCTGGAAGGCAGCAAGTTGGCTAACAAGCCAAAACATTTTGTATGTACAAATTTTCGCTTAACTTTCGGCCGTGAGCTCCTTTAGCTCGCAGTTCATCACTGTGACGCTTCTATTTTATTTATTACTCTAACTGAAAATTTTAAGCTGCAATTGGAATTTTAGCAACATTATTTTGCCCGTTTCCTTTCTAGTTTTATGCTTTCATTGCGTTTTTATTATTTGTGTCTAGCATCACGAAAGGAAGTTGGCTCTGCTTTACGATTGCATGAGTGTTGTATGTATGGGTGTTTCTGTGTGTGTGTGTGGGGGGGGGGAATAACGAATCCGTATCTGTATGAGTGGATAGACATACTCGTAGATGGCTGCCAAAGTGCACTTAAGTTGCTCATGTATTTTAAATGAGTTTGAAAAGCGTTGCAGGAAACTCAACATATACAAGTTACAGCACACTCGCACACTCGCACACTCGTGCTCATGCTGCAAAGGAAGTCTCAGGGCATGACCACGCCCCCTCCCGCCCTTCTCCCTTTGTTTGCCCTGCGGAACCTCCCATCCCCCTTTTGGAGCCCCCTTCCAATTGACCAGTGCCTTTTTCGGCCATTGATTGGCTCATCAGCAATTATAGAAACAAAAAGGAGAAGAGACCAAACCGAATGAAAAAGGGCAACAAATTGGTTGGCAATTTGACGGGTGTATGTATGTACATACATATGTATGTCTGTATGTATGAGTTTGTGTGTTGAGGCCATATAACTCACCTTCGATGCAATAAACCTCCAGCGAGTCGGACGTTTGATTGACCACCGTACAATTGGTGGGCGCTTCCGGTTTGCCAGCGGCTATCAAATGGAACACACAGGGCTCCTTCTGCTGACCCACATTGTTGTCGGCCCAGCACATGATGGTGCCAAAGTCCATTTCCTGCAAAATGCGGAGCAGACAGCGGTTCGTCAATACTCAAAGGTGAACATCGGTTAAAAATAAGTGGGACGTCAGAATAAAAGGGTATCCGTTCCACATCGAAATTTTAAATTTAAAAAGGTGTTTATTAAAAATGTATAAATGTTAGTTGAACACAATTGAACTTATATTTACCCAAAATAATTGTTTGGCTTTAAATAAATCTTTATATTTGCTCGTTCTTTCCCTTCCTATTTATATATCCGCACCTCAATTTATTTTCTCACAGTGCTGCTACTTGAATTCATCTCTTGGACACACATTTAAATGGAATTCAAGCAGCCGCACACGACATCGATGTGAACTTAATTCATTAAATCAATATGGATACGGAGCAGTGTGTTGTCAGAGTTGGCCCTGATTGATTGCAGCTGTCAATAAGTTTTTCATTAATATAATTTCATGTCATGTCAATGCAGGAAGGCCAAGGAAAGGCGGAAAAATGCCAGGCAGTAAAAACAAATGAAGCATTTTGTGGCTCTCTACCCCAATGCCATTACACATATACATATATACATCTGTATATTTGTATGTATGGGTGAGTGAATACGTGGGAGAGGAAGGAAGGCATGTTAACATGGCCCTAATGCCTGTCTATCCCATTGGATCCCAGTGCTAAGTGGCCGCCTGCGGTCTTGGCCATTGTTTGTTCCTCCTGTTTATTTGTTTGCATTTTGTCAAATGTTGTGCTAATGAAATCCTTCGTCTCCGGTCAAGTGCACACACCCACCAAACTAGTGGACCATTCGCACACGTCCCCGACAATCGAAACGCTTTCATGTCGCCGAGTATCTTTGTATCTTTGTATCTGTGCGGGGCGTGTTTACCTTTGGCCTTTCCCGTTGACTGCGAACACCGGAATCAACGCACTTTATCAACTTCAGGCGGCCCCGACTCATTAAAAATTGAAATCACTTTCGGGTGCACGGCAAAATGTCAACGCAAATTGCAGCTTATTTATCAGTCGGCACGCGTTTCAACCTCCTCTCTTTTCGACTTCCCCCAATCTTTTTCGACTCGCAACTGGGCGTGGTTGTCATTTTAATTAGGGCAACAAAAGAAAAACAGTAAAAAAAAGTGGATCCAGCAAAGGGAAAGTTTGCCAACAGCCCGGGGGAAAGTCGAGATTTATGGAAATAGGGGAATGAGTTGGGTTTTTCGAGCTGTCGTAGATGGAAACTCCAATGATCTAGAAAAAGAGTTTGGGAGTTGGCAGCTCTGATTGATTGTTGGCCTAATGCACTCCCTTAACTTGAAATCGATTGAGATTGCTTGGGGCCTTATAGTCCATGAACCAAAAAATTCTAATTAAGCTTTATTGATGGAGCATTGTGAAATAATAATTAATAATAATTCCTTAATAACCGTGAAAAAGTTATCGTGATATTTACCAATGAATCTTTAGAAAAACAAAGCTCTTCCCTTAATAAGATTTAATTAAATGGTTATATTTCGTTTATAAATGTACCCATTAATTGACTATCGAATTAAATGGATTCTCCATCTTTAATTTAAACTAGAATCAGCTTAAAGCCCTGAAAGTTTCTTTGTGAATACCTAGCAAAGAACCTATGAAGACTGAAATAAATTGCAAATATTCTGCTTCCTTTGAGTCGCAATTTAAGCAACAGTGCTTATGCAAATTTATGACAAATTTATGAAAATTAAAATGGCTTCGCATGTGTTTGTCTGGTGTGTAGGAGCTATTGCAGCTTGCAGTTTTGGTTGGCTTGTGCGTGGCAAAAGTGTTGGCACAAAGGCGCCAAGTTGGCAGCTGCCAACACTGCGCATCAACACCGACGGGCCAAAGGGAAAGTGGCTAAGAGCCGGAGCTCCGACTAGAGCCACAGTTACGGCTACGGCAATATAATAATGGAGCTGCCAGAACCAAGAGCACAGAACCAGAAACCCACTCACACACACAATTGCATGGCATTTTAAGTAATAATCAATGTGGGAGATGCAGAGCACGCTCGGCTTTTTCTATTTGCAACTGTCATCGCCCGGGCCGACAATCCTTGATAATAATTTCTAGTCCCTGGGGCCTCACAATTTATGCCCCTCTATTTATTATGATTATTTTATTTTGTTTACATTGTCCTAATGTTGCGCCAGCAAAAGTGTAAATATTGTTGCAGCAGCAGCAGCAAAAGCACCAGCAACGGCAGTCGTTGAAAGGAAAACAAAATCCATAAAATATATATAACTACGTATACTTCATATTTTTCCATGTGAGTATCTGTGTGTTTAAGGGCTCTAAAGAGGGCAAAATGTCACTTCTAGGCATTGCACTCTGTGCATTTCGTTTCCAGTCAAGTCTTTCGTTATTATTTATGCATTTTAATTAAAAATTTAAACATTTAAGTGACATTTTAATGAGTTTCTTGCACTGGAGCTCTTGCACAGAGCTACCGAGCGAGCTACGCTCCCAAAAGCCAAGAGACCGAAATTTATTTTTGTGAAATATTTGAGAAATTTATATGTCAGCAGCGGAAATTGCTTGACATGAAAGCCTGGCAAAAATTGCTCAGCTCACACATAGAAAATAGCAATGGCATCGGAAAAAATGCGGGGGAAATGGAGAACGAGAAATGCCCATGCACAAAACAAAATTAATGAGCTGTTGGATGCCTTTGAGCAAATCGCACAGGCAGGAAAAACCAAAAAAAAAAAAAGAAAAAAATAAGAAGGAAAATAAATAAATGGGGGAAAAGCGAAAAGAAAAATCCCGACAGAAATGTGACGACGGAGACGACGACGTTTGAGTTGCGGTTGGCGGAAACCGGAAACAGCATATATGACAACAGAACGGAAGGGATTTTTCATATTCAATTGAGCTAAATGATTTATGTATCTGTGTGTGTTTGTGTGTGGGCTGTGTCTGTGTCTGTCTCTACGTTGGTTGTCTGTAATTGTCTGTGTGGTCCAATCAGTGCGATGGACGAGTGTTTGTGAACGGAACTCATTTGAATGGCGTTTGACTGCCTCGCAATTCGTTCGTTTGATCGCTGAAATTTAAGCCGAGGTTGTCGCCACCAGTTTGATTAGTTTCTGCTAGAAAATAAAGAGGAAATGAAGTAAAATATGTAAAAGAGAGTGGAAAAGCAGGGAAAACTGCAGAAGGAGCCGCCACGTTTTAAACTGGGTCAGCCAGAAAAACCAGACGGAGCAAAGGAACCGAAACCCTAAACCAAACCAAGCCCAACCAAACCAACTGGGTGGCGTGCAACTTGAACAACTGTGTTGAGTGCCCCTTCTCAAAACCCCCTTCCACACCTCCATCTCGTTCTTCCCGGCCAGTGCCATTTACAGCATCCAGTTGCAGCTCCTCCACTGTCATCGCATAATGGCAGCCATGTTGGCTTACAAGCGACCACAAGCCCAGTCCAAAAAACTTAACACGTTTGTGGTCAGACGGCCAAGCGGAAATGTAGGTGCCGACTTGCTGATGGGCAAGATCTAGCCATGAAAAATCTCTGACTCTAACTTGAAAAACCAAAAAATACTTTAATGCTTCAGGTTTTTGGATGACAGCTTGTTTTAATTGAAGAATAACTTTAAATATTTTTCATCAAGAAGAAAATTAATGAAGTAATTAACTATTATTAATTGAATTGTTGGATGTTATTCTCAAAAGCTTTATTTCTTTAAAGTATATTTTCCAAAGTCATTTAGAAACTAAGAAAGAGTTTAAAAACCACTGCTTTGCTTTTAAGTCACACCACTTGACTCCGACTTCTATTAACTCACAATGATAACTAGTTTCATCTTTCTGACTGACAATTTCGATGACCGGGGCTCACATGCAACTTTGTTTTGGCAAACCATCAAAATTTACACATCACCCAAAGCAGCATCTGCTTTCGAAAGAGGCTGACATGGGTGAATTTCAAATGCAAAAACCGAAATCCCAACGATTCGGACATTGATGGGAGTGCAGCTCATTGATGGCCAATTTGCTTGGCCAATTGCTGGGGAGGAGCGCCGAAAACTGCAATCGCAATTGCTGTTGGCCATTGGGGCCATTAATGCGGAAATGTTGCCAAAATCGAAGCACAGACAGAGTGAAGCCAAAGAGCGTTAGTCGGAGAGGTGGAAAGTGCTTAGCTTTATCCCCTACATTTTGCCCAATGATGATAACTATTAAAGTCAATAGCATTCACTTTCAATAATTTTTTTTCCCCTATAACCTTTGACATTCAATGGTGTTGCTGTAGTTGATGATGATGATGATGTTGATGGGGGAGGTGGCCCTTCTGCTATTGGATTTTTAATTAGAAAGCAGTGCTAATAGAATTTTTAATTAAAATCGCTCGACTGCCCCCAATGGCTGGCTGTTGTCTCTATCAGGAAGGACTTTGCTCCACTTCACTTTCCCTATGGCTGCCAATGGCTGGCAATGCTTTGGCTGGCTGGCTGACAACATGACACGCACACAGGCCAAAATAAATGGCAACAACCATGCTGCCCGCCTATTAATTAAAATTTTTGCTATTCAATAACAGACAACCCCCGTGGAGTTCAATGGTAACTACCATGCAGTGAGGAAAAAATGGGAAAGTATAAAGAAATATGTATATTAATATGTATATTTTTTAATATTATTTTTAATATGAATTTTGAATAAATATTTTTTCAGAATACTTTTCTACTTTTTTTTTTTCAAATTAAACGACAGTTACAGAGTAACCCTTCATTTATAAGAGAACTTTACTTTTGTTACCAAATAAAAAAAAAGAGAATAGGGTTTTAAAATTGCAGTGCATCCTCCCTTCTTCGCTCAGTATGGCCACTGGCCAAAATGTCAAATGTGTCAATAACAATTTCACATTAAAGGCGAGCGCGACGAAATATGAAATGAAAAATTTATCATCGCGCCGCATGCTTTTCCCCTCAAATCGAATCGAACGTCTGACGTGTTTAGCATTCAACGTGACGAATGGGTCACGCATCTCTGTCTCCGGACTTTAGACCCCGGACCTCTATCCCGCTGACATTTGTCGGTTCCCAGGCGACTTTCCGGACTCTCGTTCCGGAATTCTTTCGGGACTTACCTTGACGGGCGTGTAGGTGAGGGTGGAGCCCTGGGCGGAATGGGGCCGGAAGCCGCTTTGCGGCATGTCGAAGGTCTCCGCCGTGTTGTTGAAGGACCACTTGAAGTTCTCCGGCGGCGGAAAGGCATCCACTTCGCACACGATTTCGGCCGCCTCGTTCCGTGCCACTCCATAGATTTTCTTTTGATCGGGCCGGCAAATTGGCTTATCTGTATGGGAAAAGGGGAAAAGTAAGCCAAAAAAAAAAAAAACATTCGGTGAGTGCGGGGATCGAAATAAAGTTGACTGTAGTGCATTCTGCTGTTTGCATCTGCAGCTGGAATCAATAATCGCATCAAACTTTGGGGCGGTGGATTCTTTGTTTTTGCCAGCCTCTTCAGGCAGGCTCAGAAATCCCAAGTAGAAAAGTTAACCCTTCTCTGTGTCTGCGGGCCAGCTTTATTGTGGCCCACTCAAGCAGCTAACTCAACGCAGAAAGCGGCGAACGAAAAAAAGAAGCCGAAAAACAACAGCGCAGAAACGGTTTGGTCAACAAAAAACCTTGGCGAAGAGCTCATTTCGAAGGGCTTAAATGCCTTTGTGTAAGCCAAAAGCTACTTCAATTTAAGGCACCTTTAATTTATCATATTTCAATACTGAATTCAAAGAAATATGATATCAGCTTTTAAGAAAAAATATATGGTTTAAGCCCATTTACTGTTCCTCTATTAAAAATACTATAGATTTATTAGCAAAAATTCTCGTCTTGAATTTCTCCGTTCAAAATTCATATAATTTTATAAAAAGAGGACTCGAATGAAAGGAAAACTTTGCCCACTGAAAACTTTGAGCAAGGAGAAATTCAAGCAAAAAGCCGAGTTGAGCAGACCAGGGAATATTCAATTTTCTAATCCTTGGCCAGGGAAAATCTTGCAACTGTCTCTTGCCACAGCCACGAAACTTGCGAAAGTTGCAAGTTGCAAGTGGCGAATTTATTGTGCCATTTGACAACTGTCGATATTGCATGGCAAGTTGGCAAGCTGGCCAAGTCGTAAACAAATTTTTAGCACATCTCGGAGGGCGGGGGAAATGCACAGGGAAAATGGCAGAAAGCGCTGCCATTTGGACTTCGAGTTTTGTGGCGAACGGAAGCTCTGCTTAAAACAAAAGCTGGACAAGAGAAAAAAGGGATAGAAGTGGAAGTGATAAAAGGGAAATGGCACCGGAAAAAGCTAAATATAAGACCACAGCAGATGGAGTGGTTAAAGGTCCGGGCGGCGAAAAAGAATAGGAGGATCTCTGGCCTGCTAAATTGCTCGAAAAGGCAAACTAATTAACCAAAGTTTGACTCGAGACAGGGCCAAGTTCAGGAATCCGGCACAAATTGAGCAGAAGATTTGCGGTCTTGTCCTTCAAGCGGGGAAGCCCCACAACAAACTTAAGCCGAAGACCGAAGACCCAAACAGTTTAAAGAACATACTTTGGGGGAATGTTTTGGTATACCCTTTAGCACATTTATCTTGGAAGTTTGCGACTCATTTCGTTCTGCGAAAAGGTAGTAAAAAAATTATAAATGAAACAAAACATATAAGGATTAAGTATGAAGACGTAAGTAAGTATAAAACAAATATCGTATTATTTGTGGTACACTTAAAAACTAGTTAAATGGCATACTCAAACTGTAGACTATGCAAACTGGAACCCAGTTTTGGCTTTCCTCCAGTATTTGGCCACCAAAGCTCGAACCGATAGATTGCCGCTTGTGAATACGCTTTACTCCTTTCTGCCCAAATCCACTTTTTCGGCGGCACACAAAGGAGCATTCAAGCAGCGCACAATAATGGGGCGTATACGCAATAAAACTGCAAGAGGCCCGCACGAGCGCACAATGTCGGGGTTTCCCCGTTACCCGTTTCCCGATTCCGCAGCCCGGACCCCGAACTGGCTGCCATCCATCCTCATCGCTGGCCATACTCGAACACTCAATAATGCTCGTTTTTGTGTGTCAAAGGTCCACTCGAGAAACCAAACAGCAGGAGGAGCAGAAGGAGCAGGAGGAGCCGGAGGAGCAGCAGCACAACCGAAGAAGAATTTCATGGGGGTGGTGTTTTGGGCCACAATTCGATTTTCTATTTAAGCCCGCGCCGAGGCATTCGTTAATGGTTCGAACGCAGCCGTTCGAGAGCCTTTTTATGGGTCAGCCAATACAATGCGCGGCGAACAATGAATGGCTGCTGTGTTTGGCTGAGGTGCCTGCCACAAATCAACTCATCTCTACTCAGCTCAACGTGATACTCACACATCACTTTCAGCTCGACCACATTGGAATCGCCGTCGCCCTCGACATTCGAGGCGGTACAGGTGTAGTTGCCCGCCTGGTGACGCGTGACTCCCTGGAGCGCCAGATCGCCGCTGCTGACAATCACGCCCGCTCGCTGATTGTGCTGGATGATTTGGTGCTGCAAATGGCAGGATTAAGTCGTAATTAGAGGGCTTGTTTGTAAAATATACGTAAATTAGAGACACAAAGATACAGAGAATCAAAGAGAGAGAGAGCGAGAGAGGGGAGAGAAACGGAGGGTAAAAGCTTTGTTGGCCAATGCTAATTAGTTTTCATTCAGCCCTTCGCAGGCTAACAGTATTATATGCACATTCCCAGAGCTTCCTTTATCACAACTTTCCACACTAATTATATATGTTCATGCATGCAGAAAATCTGAAAACTGTTGGGGATTATTTGAAGCTTAAAGCACACAAAACCTCGACTATATTTCAACATTTAGAATTTTTATTTATCGGAAATATTTTACTAAAAGATTTTCAGATATAAAAGAATTGATTCGATTTGGCATTGCTTTGTAACCTTTTACTATTTTTTTAAACAACTAAAAACATGTTTAAGGAAAAGGAAAACTTTCTGATACGCATTTACACATTTCAAAATTAAGGAAGTTTATTTTAGTCCTTTGGTTTAAGTTTACTTTCATTAAATTGTTTTCAGAATAGCTGGAAATCGTATTATGCTGTGTAGATAGTTTTATTTTGGGGCATCTTCTTATTTTAAAGCTCCTCTTTACCATTTAGTTCGTTAAGTAAGGTTTAATGCACTTATGTTCCTTGGGTACAAGGTCACCTATCTTGGCACTTTTCGCCCCCTGGAAATACTCTCATAAATGCACGCATCACTGGGCTCGCAGCTTCATTAAGGATCTGTGCCTTGGACGGCTACGTGCTTGGCATCGATGCTGAAAAATCAGCCGATATTTACTTTAAGTTCTCCCTTAAACACACACATTTGCGGGGCCACACACATGCACAAACACACACATATGGGCCTTCACACCCAAATGCTTGCAGAGGCTTGACCTTCTTGCCGCTTTTCCCGCACTTTCGCTCTCATTTTGAAATAATGCTCGCAGCTCGAAGCTCGAAGCCCGATGTTCGCCTTTTGGTTTTGTAGCCTTTTTCCCAGCAGGCCGGCACTCGACAACATTTTGACGCATTTCCCCAGAGCCTTGTGCCATTTAGCAGCAAAACAAATTCGCACTTTGCCCGAGCTCAGCAAACAAACACGAGGGGGGAAGGCGGCGGATGGAAATGGGTGGGGAAACAATGAAAGCATTGAACTAAATAGAAATAGAAATAGAAATAAAAATGTGTATAAATATGGTCGACAAAAGTCAAAAAGCCGGAGCCGGCCAAACAAAGCCCCAACGACCTTAGCACACATCCATGCCGAGATGCCTATACTCGTATCTGGAAATGTGTGCAAATAAATAGAAACAATGCAGCCAGGCAACCCAACACCTAGATAATAGTGCTGTTAACTACACTTAAAAAAACAACTGCTTGAAACATAAATTGTAAAATAATTATTAGAATCATATTTTTTCGGTTTTATAATCAAACATTTAGAAATGTGAGGTTATATATTTTAGTTTATTCATTGAATAAAATGGTTTCAAAACGGTAAGAAAATTGCTAACATTTAATAAATTAATTAAAAATTTCATTTTAAAATAAAAATAGTATCAATAATATTTGTATAAGGTAAGCTGTTCATTCGTAACACAAAAGTATAAATGGGTTGCAATGTTTGCTTCTATAATATAATACTTGAATAACATTTTTATAACGTCGGTTTTGTTTTCATAAAAGAATATAAAAAAATAGTTACTGTTTAGCGTGTGCTATCTTGAAGTGTACATAATAGGCCAGCAAAGAACTAAAGCGGGCTGAGAAGAAAGGAACTAAATAGAACCGGCTTCAGTTTATATCCGAATGCATTGGGGAGGGAAGAGTCCTAGATCCTGGGAAAACCACGCGGCGTCTTTTGTTCGCTGGCCTCTGGTGTGTGCCCTTTCCATTGTGCAGATGTAAACAATTATTTAGATGGTTCGACAGACGGTAAATGCCGGGTCATGACAATATTTGCCCACTAGTCACATTTCGGCTATTGAATTCCGTTTGCTTTGTGGCAAAGTGATTGATACTTTTGGACAAGTGTCAGCGTGATCCGAGTCGAGATTCCAGATACAGATGTATCCATTACATATGCAGCGCTTTGTCGCTATTAGCATTTCCCTCGACCTGCTTAAAGATCCTTAAAGTACAGAGGAACCCCAAAGGCATACTGTTTCCCCTGCGCAGAAGGAAGAAGGACCCTTCTCTTTTTCCGCTCAGCCTCAATTCCCGTAGGGTTAACTTAAACAGTCGAAATACGAGAGGGAACGAACTGCGGCTTGGCTCAGCGACCTTGTTGTCATAAAACAAATAAAAACGTCACCAGGCATATACGAAAAGTAAATAAAGTTCAAGGTTGTCGCAGCCCAAAAAATAAAAGAGACCAACTGGAAAAAGTGTAAGCAAAGGCAAATAGAAGGCTGGAAAAAAAAGTAAGGTAGGCCAGCAAAGCCGTTCCGGCCAAGTGGGCGTTGAGGATTATTTCAAATAGTTGGAGGCACATCCGCTGCAGAATTTCCGACCGCCCCAGCCCGCCAACCATCGCCACCCCTTCGAGGTCACCACCCACCTCCTTTGGTGGCACCCCCCGCACCCCCTGCACCTTCACGCCGACTTGATGATGTCTGCACAACCCTTTAGTGCCCCTCAATGCTAATGGCGCATTTTATGCGTTGGCATTTCTGTTTGTCTGTCTCTCGGCCGTGTTTTCGACATGTTTGCCTGCCACTCCTCAAGCGCTACAAGCCAAGAGCTACGAGCCACGAGCTACGAGCCACAATCCGAGAACGCCTCTTGTGTTCGTCTGTCGCTGATGTTTGTTCCGACTATAAATACCCAATTAGTGTCCGTAATTTATCTGATGGCTCGGCCTGATTGAGTTGATTTGGTTTAGCCGTTCCCCGGGTGCTTTTTACACGTCTGCTCGGCTTTAAAGTTTCTCTAGAATTTTAGATTACTTATGCCGTTTTCCTACGTTTTCCTACAAAGACTACTTTGATGAACTTTTATATGCTTTTTTCGTTTTACATAGAATTACTACGGAGTAATATTTCAAAAATAGTTAATTAGTAAAATACAGATTTTCGAAAGTGCTAAGATTGCTCTATCTCTTAAATAATTTTCTATAGTAATAATCAAGTTAAAGTAATGAAAGTTTATGTTAAGCAACAACTGGTAGCTTTAACTTAAAACAAGAAATGAAAACATTTATTTAAATCAATTCAAATTTGCAAGGGCCTGAATGGTTCTGAAAACCATTGCCATTTGCCTTGTAGAACTATGTAAATATTTATGCTCAAGTTGCTGGAAAACTGCAAAGTCGTTTCCACCGACTTTGTTCTCTAATCAAATTTTCCGGCTATGTTTGCTATTTCTGCGGTTGCTGCCTCAACTCAGATAAATGCGAGTGTGTGGGCCAAATAACTTTTACTGCCAACAGGATTCGGCTTCGCTCGAAGCTAGCTTTCTGGTTGCCCCAGCAACGATTCCATCAAAGTTCTGCCTCTTCTTCATGGCCTTCTTGTTGTTGTTAACGAACATGTAAAACTTTTACTCGCACGCACACTGCCACGCTCAACTTTCACCCTATTTATGTGTGTGTGTGTGTGTGTGCAAGTTTAATAAAACTAATTGTTAATTTAATTTGCCAGCTCGTCGTTAATTGTCAGCTTGTCTAATTGAATAATAACAGACGAAGACAAGTTGCCTGCGTTCCACTTTCTCCCTGCGGCTGCTCTGCCAAGAATAAAGGTTCAGGCCAAATCGATGTGGTGGCAAAACAAAAATTAATTTACTTGTTAACTGAGTGCAACCGAGTTGATTTAACTAGATTTGACTTTTAATTGCATTTACAGGTTGCGCTGCATCGCATTTGCCAATTAACAATTGACTTTTAATGAACGCCCGACTTGGCTTCTTCGCCTTCGCTTTTTCCCCAAGTCATTTGCAATTTTCCGCTTGGCCTTGAACTCATTACGCATACGCCATGTGCACAGCTCGACCAAGTGTGGCTGTCTGTCTAACCCCTCCGCCTCCTCTTTCACCATCTCTCACTGTTTTTGCAGTGTGTGTTTGGCTTAGTTTCGTATCCATTTCATTTCCATTTTTGTACTGCCGCAGTGAACTTTTATTGTTATGACACTCGGCTAAAGGAAAAGCTGAAGGGCGTAGGGAAAGTGTAGGGGATTTCACGCTGAGCTGGCTAAATGTAAGTGACGATTGCCAACTAACTAACTAACTGGGTTGCTGTCGCTTTCTGACTTGTTAGCCAGTCATACATATTCTGTGTCGGATAAAGGACATCAAGCTCAGACTTTAAAGATTACTGAGAATTTTAGAAAGGAATGGACAAATAACAAATTTATTTTATTCAGTAATTTTACATTCCTTAAAGTTTTACCATGTTTTGAAAATATTTAACGTATTATTAAAAGTTCTGTTAGAGTATTAAAGCCTCGATTTAATATAAATTACAGCTTGTACTTTGTGTTGTCAGTTCATTTGCATTTAACATTGACTTCTAAAGCTCATTGATTGTTCCTTGCCCACTCTCTCCCTTTTGCTTGCTTCGCCCTGTATATAATTAGCATTTTGTTTCGATGTAAGATAGAATGTAATGGAATCAGCACTCGAACCAAACCGTTCCATCGTCCCTCGGGTAAATTATTATTTCATATAAAGTTTTTATCTACCTACCCTCTACGATGTTTTGTGGAAGTTTTTTCTACTAAATATTCCTCGTTTCCCCGCCCATACTTCGAAAAGTTTTTGGTCGTCTTCGAGTATTTGTATTTGCTTATTGTTGTTTTCGGTAAAAGTTATGACTAAGTTGTTGGCTCTGCCGTTGCCGTTGTTTAGCTTAGCTCTTTGTTTGGTCATGTACTTCATTGTGAATGAATTCAATTAGCATTCATATTATTCATACACTTGATTCGCTTCTTGTTCGGCATTGAATAACATTTATTTGGCAGCCATTGTTGTTGGCTCTGGCGAGGGTTCTTTGTGCTCCCTTTAATAAACAAATGATTTGCCTTGTAAACTTGTGCGGACTCCCTAAATTCTTCCCCCTTCCTCAAGCCTGTCTTATGCCAGCCACTCGACTCAATTGCCTTAAAATAATTGGCCAATAATTCAGTAAAAATGACCACTTAATTTCGGTTTCATAATAATTTACTCGGACTGGGAGGCTCGTGTGTGTAAGAAGCACGCCAATGTCTTGGGAATTGCCGGAAGTTCGGCAGTTGTACGCTCAATTGCCTTGAGTGCAGCATTTGAAGTATGTTTGAAGGTCAATAAACCCAGAGAAATAATACTTACATTTTTCTTATTAGTATATATTTTTTAAAAGAAATTTTAAAGAAACCGGTTTAGTTTATTTTACGTACAGAAAACATTCGAATTAAATGTTTGTAAACAGAATTCAAGCTATAAGAAAAGCTTCACATTATTAAACTGAAATCAATAAAATTGCAATTATCTAAATATTTTCTCAGAGTGTACAAACCAAAGACGTTAGTACGGAAAAGTTACCCAAACTTGATGGCCGAAAATAATATATTTTCTAGGACACTAAAAGGTATTTTTTGCTAAAAGTTTACTTTACACTTTAGACCAAACTCGTCGCCCACTCTCTCGCCTTCTGTATTTGTCTCAATAAGGAGTGCTCTTCCGTTTAGAAGGCCCTTCATAAATATTGCAAGTCAAGGAAAGTTTTGTGTTTGCTCACTTACATTATGCTTCCATACAACTTTATAAGCAGCCGGATTTGCATGCACTTTACACTCGAAGTAGACATCATCGCCCTCCTCGATATCCTCCGGATTCAGATTGGAGCCCAGGTCCAGCTGCAAGGTGGGAATGACTGAAAGAAAAACGTTGGAGAAGAAGACAAACAAGACACTGGATGAGCATTGTATTCATTTGACTAAGGCAGCGACTTAGACTCGGGATTGGGATTCACTCGGGGGAAAGTCCATCAAACGTAATTTGCTGTTTTGGACAATCCTTCAACTCGAGCCCAAGAATGGCAAGAAAATGGGCGAAAAAAGGGGGTTAATCCGGGCTTATCCGTGATTACTGTCGCTTCGTCTTCGCCCATTTTCTATCTATGTATCTCGACTGCCCCTCGGCTCTCGGCCACCTTCCACTTGTTTATTATTATTTTGCACATTGTTTTTGGCAGCTTCCCTGCTCTCGCAGTTTTGGTCTTGGGTCTCTCAGTGTGCTTAGTGTTTCCGCCTTTTTCTTTTCTACTTTCCGAGCGGGTGGTGGCACGTTGTTCTGTTCTAAACGCAAGTTTCTTTAAGCCGATTTCGTCTTTTGCAAAGACTTGTTAATGAAAATGAAAAGTGCTTTAACACACACCATTCCAGAAATGAAAGGAGAATGAGCTTAAACCGAGCGATGGGGAAACGGGAAGGGGAATGGGCGGTAAGGACAATGAGCACAGGAAGAACGAGTCAAGGCAGTTTGCATAATTTAAAGACTTTTTCCACTGCCCCAGCATCTTTCTGTCGCACTCATTGTGTCTATCTTTTTCCCGCTCAACAAGTTCATTAGCGATGACTTTAAGCCGGCACAGAAAACTAAAGTGAAGGGACAAGAAAACTAAGAGGTGTGCACTGGAAAAAATAAACCTACATTCTGTCCAATAAAATTTGATTTTAGAGCAGCCCTCTTAAAATTCAAAAAGAAATTCAATTTAACTAACTTATATTTCAATAAAAATGCATTATACTTATTAAACATAAACATATTGTTAAGTAAGTGGAATTTATCTGTGCTTTTCTCATTTATCAAAAACTTATCAAATTGCAAATGACATCCCCCAATTTTTTCAACTGCATTAGGACATTCGCCAAAGGAAGTTCCAAGTGGCTGGCAGGCCACACTGTTGCGGTTAGGATGGGCTTAAGTGGTAATAACTGTCACTGGCCAAGCTGGCCAACTACGTCTGGCTAATGCATTTTATGGTCCTCCATCTCGGCGACCCGTTGACCCATCCCGTCCGCAGATCCCTCGTGGAGCGAACGTCCCAAAAACGAGAGGAAAAACCAAACGAAACCGAACCAAACCAAAGCAAAGCAAGCCCCTCCCATCCCATTCCATCCCAGTCGTAACTGCAGCTTAACGTAACGACTTTTGAGTGCCAGTGCCACATTATGTTGCAGATGCAGTTGCAATGGTAAGGACTGCATCTGTGTGTTTGCCAGTTAGTGGTGGTTGGGGGGAGGGTCTTTGTACATGAGTGTGGGTGAGTCCTGTCATTGTCTATTGCACAAAGTTGAACTAGTTCTCGTTAGCAGTCCTTAAATTGATTCCCCTAGCCTCGCCGGCTATATAAATTGCATTAAGCTGAAAGCTTATTTTCTTCTTCCATTTTATGTATCCTTTTGAGGGTAATTTAGTTGTATAGAAAATACATGTGCGATCCAATGAATTGTTTACGTTTTTCTGACTCCTAAACATGTGTGGCAAAAGATATAGATAGCGAACAAAAATTCCCAAACTACGTTTAACTTCTTTAAACAAAATCAAAAGAAAAATGTACAATTTTAAGTTATTTTCTATTTTTAATTGCTCGTTTTTTCCAGTTCTTATTATTTTTCAACAGAAATATGCCTCGTTGATAAGTTTATTGCGGATATAGCTTTAATTTTTGTAGGCCTCGCGTTTCCTGTTGATTTCATTTCGGAAGCCTAACCTGAGTTGATTGTGTGGAAAATAAGAGGCCCGGCTGCGTTGAGGTGCGCTCGGATTAAGATATTAGAGATAACTTTTTTATGGCCCCGGCAAAATGTGATGTAATATAATGAGAAAATTATTGGCAGCGTCAACTTGAACCTGCCCCATCTCAACTGCGGCAGCAGCCGACATTGCATCAACTTTTCAATTTACCCCCGACGCAGGAGGCAAACAAAGAACGCGCTTAAAAAAGACACAAAATCTTTTTCGGGGCAAACGAGGAAAGTGGGGCGGGAAATATGAAATCTCAGGAAGTGTCAGGCGGAGGAAAACCGGAGGGCACCGAAATATTTTAAGCACGCTATAAACATGTAAATGAGCATGGAAATTGAAATTGTTATCTAATTTTTTATATCAGCTCTCGCGCAGAAGCTGCGCCCGACTCTTTCGCAAAAGACACTTCTACACCTAGAGAAAAGCCAAACTATAAATCTTGGAATAAAGATTAATACTGAATAAGCTAAACTTTGTTGAAATTAAATATTTAATATAATTTAAAAATGGAAGAATTTTCATGCTTATTGGTTTCTTGGTTTTTACTATTTGCATTTAGAAGTTAGTTGTTCTCCTTTCCTATTTTTTTTTTTTTTTTCAATGCATTATCTGCTGCAGACGGGGAAAGCATCCCCATCATCGCGGCAGCCACCGAAAGGAGTAAAGTTTCAATGGCATTGGGGAACAACGAGGCGGCAAGCTTTTTAGATAATAGACGTGGCAACTGTTTGCCCAAGACGCTGTCGTCACTGCCAGGAGATGAGGACACAGGACCCCAGGACTATTGAAACATTAAGGGTTATCCCCGCATATGTGTGCCTGTGTGAGTGTGGCTTAAAGTGAGCCTTCCGGAATGTCGTATAGTGTATGTGTGTGTTCATCGCTTTCTTGGCCGCGGCGCGATTTTAATATTTTGCCATAGAAATTTTATTAACAAACTTTACCCCAGCACATTGTTGACGCGGCCCATAAAACAAAACCTTTGACATACGAGCCATCGGAACGCAAAAAAAAATTGAATGTATTATGTAAAGCCCGCCAATATTTGGAACAGAGTTCCGAAATCCCGCCTTCAGCCGCCCCGCGAATCCTGTCACTATGGCATTGGTATGCAAAACAGTATTGATTCCCCAAAGGACATGGGCGATAAGCGGTTGACATAGTTTATGGGATCGCACGAGAACCGAGGGGAGGGCCCATCGATGGTTTATGGGCCACTCATAAAGCAGCGGCATATGTCAAACGGGGTGTTATTAAAGCGAAATGGGCCAGTTGTTCCTGGTACACAAAATATTTCAAGGGACCGTTATGATTGATTTCAAAACAAATATTAGAAATTACCCTTACCAAGACTCTTTTGGTTAATTAGAATAATGATTAACAAAGTCTTAAAATGGAACATGGACACTACTAAAAAGTATTACTTATTTGGAAATATTGATTGCATTTACCGTAATCATTTTACTATACCATTTTTTAACGCGCTTAAAAGCTCTGGTCAAAAAACCTTGTACAAACTATTATCTTTATATATTAATTGCATAATAAATGAAAAATCGTGCTATAAAAATGTTTCAACCGCAATGTTTAATTCACTTAATGGTGTTCTTAACAAACTCAATTAAAACGTTTCATTTGGATGTATAAAAATATATTTTTCGAATTGTGGTTAGTTGTATACTTACAGAAAACATTCAACTTCATGGCTGTTTCTCGAATGCCATTCCGAACGAGTTCATTGGTTGCTCGACAGGATAATGCCTTGCCATGATCCTCCCTCGTCGGTGTGATCGATAAAACCGAAGTGCTTACATTGCCGTCCTCAGAGACCTAAGGAAAAATCAAACAATTTATCTATGAAAAATATATGATTAACAAAGTATACCTTCTGACTATGGCCATGGAGTTCGAGGTTGCCCATCCACCAGGTTATTTTAGCAGGAGGTCTAGATCCGATCGCTTGGCACTCGATCTCGTACTTTCGATCCGCTGACATCGGCTGATTGTTGAAGCTGATTTCCACGAGGAGAGGACGCACTGCAATGCAAACAGTTTGTTTATGAACGCGCATTAATTTCCATCGTTAATTTATTTGCTTAAATGTCATTTAAGGTTGGTTTTTTCTACCCCCTCCTCTTGTTTGTTTTTTTTTCTGGTTTTGTATTTCGCTTTCTGCATTTTGTTTGGTGCGACAGCAGCTTTTTGTTGATTTATTCAAATTGTGTGTGAAAAATCGAAATCGAAATGGAAATGACAGGCAATGCAATTAAAATTAATTGCAGCAAATTACGATTGCCACCAGCAACAGAAACTGTAGCAAGTACGACTGCGGATTGCAACAATGTCGAACATAGGGCAGCAAATATTTCTGTTTTTCATAAAAGGACACATAATGCGAAATGATAAATGTCAGACGGAAAAGGCAAAGGAACCGCTGAATCGATACGATTCCTGACAAAGCATCAGAAATTTCGTCCAGATTTCCAACATAAGTTTAATATTTATTTTTCACAGCAAAGGAAGTCGAAGTCATTCATGGTAAAAAATTTAATTACGAAAAACTATCAATAAAGGTTGGTCGTTCCTTCTGTCTAAGTTCATTGAACCTTTAAAACGTTATTTCCGAGTCGCACCGGAGAGCCGTTTAATAAATAATTGGCATATGGCCAATTGGCGTAGGCCATTGTCAGATTGGTGGATCACAAACAATGCATTACATTTCAGCCAATAAATATTCATGCAATTACATTTATGTAATTTGAATATTTGTTAATATTCATGCTGACAGCAATTTGTTTACCCACAAAATTGAAAATTGCCCAAACAAATAAACAATAACAAACATATTTTTTTCCGCCACCCAAATATGGTCACGTAGCGCTTTGGAGTCCAGGTTCATTATCAACATAACACAATTTCGCATCGTTATCTGTGTCACTGCGAAGGTTTTTGTGTCCCCTAGTTTTTCTGCCGTTTTCCGCATTAAATTATAAATTACCCGATTTGCGTTTCAATTGGAAAATTATTACAAATGTTTAAATATCTTTTAACGGGCGAATCATTCTACTGAACAATTTTATCTTCTTGACTATTTATTCATTGAGCCTATCATAAAGAAATTTAAAAATAAATAAATTTTAAATACTTATGTGTATTAAATGTGATCCGTAAGGTATTCAAAGGGCAGAAAAGTTACACGCTTAGAGGGTATCATTTAACAGATACCTTTAATAATATATTGATATACTTTCTGCAATTTAACAAGTTAAGCCAACTGTTGTTTTTTTCATTTATTGTTTCATTTGCTGCGGTTGGCCGCGCATTTTATGCGTTAATTTAAAGGCGTGACATTTCAGTTAAGCCCGAATACGATAATAAAAAGGGAAAACCAAAAGGGAGATGCATCTACAATTTTATTTATTTCAATGCCATTTGTACTTTTTACTCCTCTGCATATATTACAATATTATTCCACTTTTTTTTATTGTTTTCGTAGGTACTGAACATGCTTTAATGTGGTTTTTGTTGGTGCTGCTGCAGCGCTTTATTGTAATTAAATTAATTATGCACATTTGCATTGGAAAATCATTTAAATGTTTAATTAAAGGCACTACACCAACGGGCATAGAAGACCCAGCCCGAAGACCCTGAACTGCGTTTAATTATGCAAACAGATCCATTAAACAATTTAAAAGCTACCCAGGTGAAATCTCCAGAGGTAATTTTTTCAAAGAACGAAAAGTTTACTTTGATCTTTCTGATTGAAATACAATCAAGAATATGAAATACTAAATGCAGGGGGAACATTTTAATTCAATTAAATGTTGCATTTCGGATTCGGCCAGCCCTTTTGGGCCTTAAATTGTGTGCTAATGAGGAACTCTCATAATTGTTTTGTGTGGGGGACTGAGTGTCGTGACGGGCGTAATCTAATTGTTAGTGGCCATAAAATTAACTAATTAAGGTCGTACTTATTATTCAACTGCCTGTTTCTCATGCCTCCATTCTGTCATTACACGCAAAGCAAACAAAAAACAGCCGAAATTCTGTAAAGAAAAAGTGGAAAAACCTGGTTAAGTCCACCACTACTCCCTTTGTTTCAAGGTCATTTGTTAAACGTGGTACGAAATTGTGGCCACATTAATTGACCAAGTTAGCGACATTCCATTGACTTTTTTTGGTGCCTTCTTATTGGAGTGTTAACTTTTATGTCCTCACAAGTGCGACATATTCTTATGCTCTTCCTCGTTCCCAGGATTTTTTCCAACTCAGGGCAATAATATTAAATATGTACATCACCAGCTGCTGTCTCCGCAACATTTTGGCATTGTTTTTCGGGGTTTTGGGAGCCTAAGTAGAAATTGACGTCCAATTGCTTTGGCGTTTCGAGAGCCATGACAGACGCGCCAAAGTGCCATAAAATTCTATGGCCAATCTTTAGCTGTTAGCGCAATGTCTTGGGCCTAATAACCAAGCATCCAACAAAATATTATACACCAATAGAAGCTGAAAATGGAAGCCTGAGTACGGGAACATAATATTTTTTTTTTTTTTTTTTTTGAGACGTTTGTTGGAATGGTAGAACAAATTTCTGTATTTAATTAAAATTGAAGAATAATAACCTGCGTTCACAATTTTAAAAAATAAAAAAAAAATATATTTGTGTTAAAATTAAAGACTGACTAAGAAGATTGGTAAATATTTTGAATATTTTAGAAAATAATTATTTTTTAATGAATGTTTTTCATGCATGACCCAAACCGAACAAACTATGCAGATTGCTGAATTTAAATTTCTAATATTTGATGTTTCATTTTATTTATTGTGCTCTCCTGTTGACTCTCCTGTAATATAGCTGACAGAATTTACAAAAACATTTTTGTCACAGCAAATAAACTTGCTGCAAACAGCTTTCCCGGACACAAATCTCTTTGCCACTCACACACACACACGAAAAACACTCGAAATTGGCAACAATTTAATTCAATTTAACAATTTGCACTTCTCCTGCCCGTGGAGAGTGTGGAAAAGGGGAATTTAAAAAATTGTCACAAAATAATAAATCCATTCGGGTCATGCACAGTCCACTAACCTGAACGCGGCTTCTATACTTAAAAAAATAAAAAACCAGAAAGGAAGCTAGCTTCGGCGAGCCAAATTTTATATACCCTTGCAAAATCAATCAACAAAATTATTTACAGTGCCATGCCACTTCAAAATCAGATTAAAATTTGAAAACGTATGGACTTAGAATTTGTGAATTTTGGTTAATTTTCAGCAAACCAATTTTTTTCGGAAAGGTTACATCATTAACATTTAAAAAATTCGGCCAAAAAATAAAATAATTACTTATGACAACTAATAAAATAATGGGTTTGTCAAAAAACGACCATCGATATAATCAAAAATAACATCGAGATAATTTTTTCCCGGTATTTTTTCGATCTCTCCCGTAGAAGCTGTCCGATATAATCGCCCGATCCGGACCACTCCAACTTATACACTGCGTGCAATAACTACAGAACTTTTTTTTTTACAGAACTCCGTCAGTGCGTTGCAAACTTTTGACTGCAATTATAATAGCCTCTGCAAGAGTATAAAAAATATTTCGCTATGATGAGCGTACAATATGTGCCGGGTCAGAGGTTATGGTAGTCAGGATAAGTTACGCATAGGAATTTCTGCTTTCACTGTGCGGCGTATATAATATTTTTATTTGGCATTCGAGTATCGCTTGCAATGTTGCTGCTGTTGCCGTTTGCATTTTGTTATATTTGCATAAGCCATTTTATTATCTATTTTTTCCTACCCAGCCTCCCAGGGTTCTTCTTTACTTTTTCGGGCTGGCTGGTGGTTCGTTTTTATCTGCGCAGCTATTTGTTAAAACTTTTATCGCAACGCTTAAAACCCCAACAACAAAAACAAAAGCTCAGCATCAGAAAATGTGAAATAAATACAATATACAAATAAATTGTTTGGCAAAACGCTTTTAGTAGCATATTTGGGTCGCTTAAACTCTCGCTTGAATGGAGAAGCAGTTTCAATTTATTATAAACTGGAAACCCGGAAGGTTCTAAATGAACTGGAATTCCTAAAATAAAGTTCTTTTAAATATTTTTTCTAGTGTCTTAATTGTTAAATTCACTTATTGGCTAGTAACAAAAGGCATTCAATTTTAATTTTGTTATTTTAGTACAAAATTACTTACGGTAGAGCTCGATGGTTATGTTGGTGGCCACATATTTCTTGTGGAAATTGCTGGCTTGGCAGGTGTAGACCGCATGCTGGTGGATTCGTGACAGGTTGCGAACCACCAGTTTGCTGTTGATGGCGCCATCGTATGTGTAATCGACAACGCTGTTCTGCAGCTGCCCATTCATCAGCCAGATGACAGTCGGCGGTGGTGACCCTTCGGAAAAGGAAGAGGTAAAAACATTATAAAAGATTAATAAGTTTACCGAAAACAATGTTAGCCGTCCAATTTTAGAACGAATTTTTTTCTTTTCCTCTAAATGCTCCAATTTAGTTTTGGAAATCAATAGTAAAAACAATGATAAATATACTTTAATTAAGAAAAGTACTTTATTTCAAATATATACTTGGTAATATTCTGAACTTACAACAAATAATAATGCCCCTTTCTTATGTTGACAAGACTGACTAGCCGTCGTGCCTGTTATAATCTATCCTTAGAACCTCTAATTTAGTTAGCTGGTGGGGCATGTTAACTAGCCACCACGGCGGTGCAATTGCTGGGGAGTGAAATCCCACTTAAACCTACACACAGACGCACAACCACATTACTCATACGCAGCGTGCGGCACTTGGCCGCTTTTAACGACTTCAACTTAATCAAGCGCTGAAATTAGCTTTTGTGTGCGTATATGAGCGCACATTAATTTAATAGCAACGGGTGGTCGGTCACTCACTCAAAGGAGAGCGACTAATACACTGCGCAAAAATTAAATCAAGTGTACAATTTAGATGATCAAGCGGCTAATTAGTACATGTAAAAGTTTCGGCTACTCCAAATTTGAATCATTAAATAAAATTTTATGTATTACCAAAAGCACTTTATGATTTTCTGCCAGTGTGAGGCGTTGACACAAATAAATTCTCTCGCAAGCTTGTCGTTTGTTTATTTTTCTATTATTACTTAGTTATTACGTAAAATGCTTGATGAGTAGCCATAAAAAGCAATGCGACTGAACAAGTGCCATTAAATCCACCTGGAAATTCACTAAAACTAAGCCACGGATGGGCCAAAAACTGCACTTGATATGTTTGAAAAATGTGTCGCACAGGCAAACACATATAGATTTTCATATATGTATGCGAATACTACGAGAGGTAAACGCACATTACTTTGATTAATAACTGCCATTTGGTCGAGTTTTATGTTGTTTATGAAAATATTTCACATACTACCAGAAGGCCCTGTGTCTGTGTGCTGGCAGTAGATTAGCGCATGTGTAGCAAGGCGGCTTAATGGTTACTCGTGATTTATTGGCCTCCCCTTCAACGGAAATACAATGGGGAAATACTACAAAAAACTATTGGAGAGCCGTAGGAAAACCCCAGTAAAAAGTGTGATTTGCAATGCAATTGTTGCTCCCTTTTCTACACTTAAAGCCACCGAAATCTATTTCGGAAATTCAACTCAAGCGGGTTTTACTTAAAGTCAGTGCTTTAAGTTTCCTTGCAAGGCTTTGGTGATGTCTGCTGTTTTTTAATGTCAACATAAGGTGCCACAGCTAACACAAACTTCCACACACATTCACCATCAGCTGACTTGCACAAACACCATCAAAGTTTGCACTAGCTTTTTTACACTTTCTCCTTGGTTTTCTTTCTTTTAACCTGCATTTTCATGCTCTTATGAAAGGAAACTCGAAAGAGTATAAAAGGGTCATAAAAGAATTTTTCTGCAAAAATGAATAAATGTAAAAAAAATCAATTTTCGTTTGCGAAAAATATTCTTTCATTCCACAAAGCATGTAGTTTAGTAAAACTGGCTATTTCCTTTGATAAAATAAAGCCGAACAATTCAAAATATTGCCTTGCTGTGGGAGCTTGCTAATATATAAGAAAATTCTTCAATTCTTTAACCAAAAAATGTTACATTTAGCAATTGAATCTTTGGTTGGTTCCTTCAGCTCATATCCCTGTTGTAGAGTATTTCTGCCATCATTCCTTTAAAAACCACGCTCCTTTCTCTTTTATTTCCTTTTGCTTTTTTGCCAAGTGCTTTGCCATTTTTAGAGCAGGCATCAAAAACGGGTTTTTGTGCCAGGCGGCAGAGAAGCAGTTGCAGCGGCAAGAGCGACATTAGCATTTCTTTGCCATGTCCACCTGGCTTGCACCTGCCCACCTGCCACCCACCAACCAACACACATTACACACACACATACCCACTTCCTAATGAGCAGCAGCATTCAAATGCGTGCCAGTTTTTAGCGTTTCCTTTCGGCGAAGACTTAAAGCCGCTGCCAGCCAAGTCGGACTCACTTATGCACTTTTGCACACACGTTACCAAAGCTCAAAGAGTCCTTCTTTTCAGGTTTCGTATTGTTATGTTTGCTCAAATCACACAGAAATGCACAGTGGCGAATAATTAAAGGCAATTGAGTTGCATCATTGGATAATTTAATAATATACATTTTTTTTGATGTTAACCAATCAAATATTAATATTGACATTTATTACTATTAAATAGATTCATCATTGTTAATCATTATTAATATTTAAAGAATGTCTTATAATACGATAAAACAAAAGTTGCATATAATTAAAAGCGTTATTTATTAAACAATTAAATCACACCATAATTTATTTTATGATTAAACGAACATTTATAGCCAGTGAGAGTAGTTCAACTTATTTTCCAACTTTTGATTTAATTTTTTTTTTCAGAACAAATCAACCTTTTACGCTGTTACAAAATTTGTTTTCTGTGTAAAACAAACAAAAGAGAACAGGGGACACCCTCCCACATGAATATAAAAACTTAGACCATGTGCTTTAGTTATGCAATGCTAAAATATTTGCTTGTTTAGTTTTGCATATCTTTGTATCTCGTGCATCTGCTTTGGCTTTGGATTTGTCTCGGGTGAAACAGATACACTGGTAAAAACCGGAGGCCGGGGAGGGAATACACAAACAAAGCTCTCAACGAATAGAAGAAACACAGGCTAAAATTTAGGACTCGTGGCAGTAACAAAAAGAGTAAAGAAGGAAACTCCGCAATGCCACATAAATATATTTTATGTTGTTTTCTTTACTACGCTTTCTGTTTATTCAGTTCGCATTTCCCCTCACTTTCCCCCTCACTTTCCTCTCCCTTTCTCTTTTGTATGCTCTTTGGCATTTGACCTTTTGTCCACCGAGAGAGCTGTAAAATAAATTTAAAGCTTGCCGACTTCGAGGGTTCTTTTTAAGGAACAACAGAAATCTCCACACTCAATTGTCATTTGTACCTTGTTTATGATGTAAGCCATAGAAACAAGTAAACGAAAAACAAAAAGTGTAAATTAATACACTTCATTTAAAGAATTTTCGTCTAAGAGGAATGGAAAATACCCTGAGTACAAGGTAAAAAATAATTACGGATACTTTCAAGGCTTAACACTTCTTACGTCACCTTTGAAAGAAAACTATAAATGAGAAATAAATGAAGTTGAAATTATGCAAGCCATTGTGGCAGACAATACTTTACTATTTCTTTAACCCCTCAACCTTCTTAAGTATTTCTCGCATTTGTGGGTCCTATTTTCGCTTAGTAAATAACTTGTGTTGTTGCATGGCCCGTATTGTTGCACTTCCGTGCTCCAAAATGTGCCACAACAACAGTAGTCGTAATAATAATAATAACAACAGCAGCGCAGGAAAGTGAAGAGAGAAATTTTTATAAAAATGCACACAATTTTGTACTCGGCAACCTGCCTAGAACAACAACACGAAGCACAATAACAATATGGCCAACGCTCACTTTGGCCAAAACGGAAAACGCCTGCACTTCCGTTTGACACACAGAGGAAAAAAATGAAAGAAGGGTAAAAGCCATTTTTAGCACACTTTATGCTATTCTGGAAATTTTAAAGGGTATATAGAGTTTTGGCTAAAGATGTTTTCCGCACAAGAATTAATATATAGGAATTATTCGGCAATCTGTAGGTGAATAGCTTTTATAATATCCCTATATTATCTGGAGAATTATTACAAATTATTATTAAATTACTTTTAATATCAATAGAAACTAGGGTAACAAAAATACCTAACCAACATGTCACCCCTTAGTTCAGTTGATGTTTTTTCCCGCGAGTTGGCTCTTCTAATATACTATGTGCTCCGGAGAATTCCAGGATAAAGGACGAGTGGGAGGTTTAGAGTCAGAGGGGCAGAAACCAACGTGTGTAAAATTCATGACGTGCAAAAGAAGGCAACGCTGAATATTATGCATTAGTGGCCACATAAACCCAGGGTTTTTCCCCCGAAATTTCCCCCTGCGCTTTTCCATTGCCGGCGCACAATGGCTGCCCCCAGTTCCAATGTATATTCTTTATGATTTTGGAAGGGGAAAACCGGGGGAGAAGATTGGTAATTTTTACTACCCACACAGACTGTGCTGGTTTATAACTTCATTTCGCTCCCCGTTTCTTTGGCTGCTATTTCGGGGCTGGCGTGTCGCGCTCATTTGCAATTGTAGACCTCCTTCTAGGCTGCAATAAAATTTACTGCTCCTTTGTCGATTTCGCACACTCTTAGGCCCAAACTGGCTGGCATTTACTCCTCACCCACCAAAAAACCCGAACAGTTCCCTGCCGAGCCGCTCCTTCCTCATCGCCTGCCGCTTTTGACTTACTTCTGCTGATTGCACTTGTTTAAGTGGCAACTTTTTCAGCACTTTATGCTCCCACCCCCTCCGCACTGCCGGCTTTTTGTTTTGGCCACAGAATTGCAATTTCTGTAATGGACATTGCATGTTGAATGCCAAAGACCTGACCACACCAGAACTGAGAACTGCAAACCCAGAACCCAGAACCCAGAAAGCAGCTAAGAAAGGAAATGGAGATGGTAAGGGGTCGAGCATAATGTCAGCATTTGCTTGCAATCTATTTCCGCCCGCTGTTTAAGATTTCAGTAGGACGGCAAGCATTTTCAATTTCACACCATTACCAAGTCGTTTTAAAATAATTGGGATGTTCAGTGGTAAGGACCGTCCTTAAAGGATAGCAGGTTTATAGTGCACTTTAAAAATCTTTACTAGACTTAAAGTACAAATGCAAGTCAAGAAACAGATACTCACTAACATTTAAACAACAAATGTTAACAGTTTTTTTTGTTTCAATCCATGCATCAATTATATTGATTTATTATATTTAGTTGTTATAATTCTTCATCATTTGCAATTATGTATAATACATCTTTTTTATAAAAAGAATATTTATAGATACATATAAACCAGAAAATCGGACAATAAATTGTTGTAAGCTTTTTAGATTTATACAAAATATGCCTACATTTAACTGTATTTATTGCAGCCTATTAATAGAATCAAATAATTAGCTCTATTTGAAGACTAATTTTCCTCAAGTGCAGCACTTTTGCCAACAACTGGATCAATTTGTTCGTTGCAACTGTCAACGAGCCTGACCACACATTCTCGCTTTCTTCCCCCCGTTTTGTACAAGTTTCAAGTACTTCAATTGCTCTCCCCCACCCCCTGGCTCATTTGCCAACATCAACTGACTTCCTTTTTCCTTGTCAACAACTTGGTTGTCCACTTTCCCCCTTTTCCACCCCATCCCCGATATTTTCTCCCGTCTCGTATGTATTCACATTTGTACATTGGCAACATTTTCCTTGCCCCCATTTAATTGGCACATACAACATTTTGAGTGCCCAATTTTCGTACTTTTTTTTCTGCTTTCCACCAACAACCTCCCAACCACCATTGGATCACCCCTTTCGCGACCACCCCCGGAAAATTCCGCCCAGAAAACTACTGGCCAGTTAACAGTTGCCGGGAGTTTCAAGTGCAGTTTGCTTGCTTGGTGATTTATTTTATGCCAACGTTGACATGTCAAACCATTCAAAGTGGTTTCGCTTCCGCCCAGACCCAGAAAAGCCAGAAAACCGTGGGAAGTACGCAGCGATAAAGCACGCGATTCTCACTGCCCGCTGACATACTTATGTCGGGCACTGTAACGACTTTTGGAGGGGAAACTGCTCTGGATTCTCAATTCCCAACTCTCGAACTTGACTGAATCCGTTGGCAGCCTCGCATTTCTCTGGGATTATTTTCGCTCAACCAATCTTTATTTTGGTTCTCATTAACATCAGTTGAGTTAAGGGTTTTTGTGTGGGTACACCATACAAAATTAAGGGTTTGGTTGCATTGCAGAATCTTTTACCTGCAATTACTCTTTTTGCTTCAAAAATTTTCTGATCAAGAGTATTATGTGAAAGAAGGTATTATTTTCAAGTTATAATCCGTGTTTTAAACCGTTGCAGTACTTATAGTAATAATTTAAAAAGTTCCTCTTAAATTAAGATTATTTTCTCTGTACAACCTTTGTGAGCGAACCACCTTGGGAATCATCGATAACAAAAGCCTGTTGACTTTCGCGGCCCTCACACAATTTTCCGGCTTTTCTCCTACTTTTCCACTTTTCCCCTTTGACTTCTTCTTGCTCTCGAGCGCTCTTAATCCTTTTGTTAAGGCGACACATTTGCGAAATTAACTTGGCACCCAGGGAGAGTTTTCTCCACTAGCCTTTCAATTGGCTCCTGTTTCACTGACATTTGTATTCGCCTTCTTTACAATTGAACTTTACATTTCAGCTGGCTGGCGGTTTGGCTTATTTATGGTTTGTTGTTTATGCTCGTGCCTTTTGTTTGCATGCCACAATCCTTAGTTACTCACCCCGATTTTAATTTTTGATTGTGTTCGTGCCGGATACTTTTATGTTTTTACCACCACTTGTAAAGTTTAATTATTGATTGCATTTAGTGGGGCCGGCAATTAATATTTTATTTCACTGGAAATTCGATGCCCACCATCTGTTTCCTGGAAGTTTTAATTAGCAGTAATGTGACTTACCTCCGTAGACAACGCAGGTCACTTCCAGGCTGCCACCCTCTTCATAAGGACCTGCCCTCGAATCGATTCTCAATCGACGCTCGTTGAAGATAATCGGCTGCGTCGGCGGCACTGAAAATGTTATATAATATTAAATAGTTAAACATTTATAAATTGGGTGTATTCTGATCATTTACAATGAAGTTGCAGCAACCGCAAATCAGAAACAATTTGGCATTGTCAAGTGCAAGGGAAAATTTATACAACGCCTAACGCGTACAGCTAGCATAATAAATTGTAAGTTTTGCGGCTAACCGAAAAATCATTTCAGCTAATTTATGTTCAACCCGTTTGGCTCTGTGTGTGTATCTGTGTATATGTGTGCGAGAAAGAAACAAATATTAATTGCTTTTATAATCGTTTCTGGCTGGCCATATTTATTTATTTATGCGTATGTTGATTTTATATGCACGTATTTTGTATATGTATTTATTAATGGCTCTTTTTATTTCAAATGGCTGAAGTGGAAAATTTTTAATTGGGATTTGGGCTGGACAAACAGAAAAGGATCTGATTTTTATTTAACTTTGCTTCGGGGCAAACAGTTCGGCAATTTTGATTTCTTTTAAATCAAATATACACGGGCTGTAGAAGTCTTAACTATAAAAAGGTTGTTTTTACTATGTTGTTTTGTTAACTAATAAACTATTTAAACATTTATGATACATATTTTTTTATATTACAGAACAAAATTGATTGCTGGAAACTAAAGAGGATGTTCAAAAATTGCTTAGATATTCTATATCTAAATTTATACGTTGTCAAATTAAAGAAATTGCCCATTTTAAACTATTTCTTTGCTCTTTAAATGTATTGACATACAGCAAAAAAAAATTTGAACTACTACTAATGCTATAATTCAATTAGATACATTTCAGTTTTTTATCTATCGATCAACGCTTTAGTATGAAACTCTACCCTTTAAGTAAAATTTAAATTTATGCCGGCTTGTTATAATTAAAAAATAGTTAGGTCCCATCAGGCACCCATTGAAGCGTGGGGCATGCAAAATAGATTGGATTTAAGACATCTTTCGGTTCTGGGTATACGCACCGACAACCTCCAAATTGACGTTGCTGTTGCGGGTCTGCGAAAGCTTGAAGTCCACGCGACAGCGAAAGTTGCCCGCATCCTTTTCCTGAAATGAAATTCCAATTATAGAGCGCCGCGCTGTTGACACTCGCGAAATTCGCGGCGAACGGAGCGAAGGTCCTTACCTTAACCGGATTTATAATCAATTCCGCCGGCTCCTTGTGCGTGAGAAAGAGGGCCCGATCCTCGAGGACCTCCTCATCTCGCCAGTGAGACGGAGTCCCTGCGTGGGCGCCACGTGTGTCGTAGCTGTCAAAGGATTCAGGTTTGGGGGATTGAGAAAAGATAGCGACACACACGATGCCCAGATTGACCTACCTGTAAATGGGTAAATTATTCTTGTACCAAACAACCAGCAGCACTTTGTCATCGGCCTGGCTGGAGCCCACATCGCATTTGATTTGGGCCGAGCTGTTCACCAACACACGCAGGATTTCGCCATCTGAAAAGGAGATTGGTAAAAAAGGAAATACGATGAGAAAGGATTCACTGCAAGTTGGCAAGTTTTGCTTCTAAGTTCTCTTCGCTGTGCTGGCAGAAAGATTTCTTGGCTGAGAATGGAAGTCAATTTAGCTGGCAAATTGATTTTCAAGTGGCTGCCGCAACAATTTGTCAAAAAGTGTTCAACAATTGCATTACGCCACACATACACACACACCCGAAAGAGGAGTATGAAGTTGTTGAAGTTGTTGATAAAGTTGTTTGTGCCAGCAACTAGGAAAATCCCTCATATTTTTGGCAGCCATTCAACCAATTTCCCTTTGATAAATGTGGCTACTTTTTGGCCAGCGAAGAGCTTCGGCTGCCCCCGGCTCTAATTAGCCAAAAGCTGACCAGCGTTGCCTGCACTCGCACCATTTGGCTAAGCTTTAAAATATCGATCGATCTGCGGCTGTTTGCGGCCCGAAAAATGAAAACCAAAAATGCCCGAAAATCGCCCAACTAAAATCACAACATTCATAGAGAAATGGAGATAGCGGGAAAAGGGCGATGGCGTTGGCGATGGCAATGGTGCTGGGAAACCAAATATGCAGGGGGAAAATGCAGCGACAAGCAACCACATAATGCTGCAAAACAAAACAGGGAAAAAAATCCTTGCAGCAAACCCGGCCAAATCCGTCGCACGTGTGGAGCGGGGAGAGGGCATTCTGGGAATCCTGCGGGGGGCCTAAAGGACTAACGGACTAAAGGACCAATGGCCAGGGAATAGTGGAAAAGCGGAGCTTAGGGGTGATTACCCAGCCACATGCGGATTACAAAATGGCCGCCATTTTCGTGTTGTGCTGCCCGGTGGTTCCACGCCCAGTGCGAGTGTGTTTATGCGGTAAAAATGCATTGGCAATTGCGTCGGGATTGAAAAAAGCCAGAGAAAAAACAAACACAGTGTCAGAAAATAAAAAAGCAGGTCTGTGATCGAAGATTCAATTACCCTGGCAAGCTCAAAAAAATCCTTAAAACTTCTTTAAAAAAAATTAGATAATCGAAATGCAGGAATGCAAAGGAAAAGGGTGAAATTATTGTATCACAATTTTATGATAATACATTTTTTTCCTTTGAAAAAAAAAATTTATTTCAGCTTAACTAATTCACAATCATAAAATTGAGAATTTCCTTTCGTGACTTTGGCAGAGGACACTTCACATTTTTATTAAACTAACTTTGACGGAAATGGTATTTTATAAAATATACGTCACATTAAACAAAAATAGAAAGTAAAGTGACTTCTTTTGAAGCGGCAATCAAATCCATCAATAATATACGGCTGTATGAGATGCAGTGACCCATTTTCCGACATATTTGAGTTGTGTGACAGGACAGAGCTGGCTGTGACTTGTGTTGCCAGCATACCCACTGATGTCCTTGGGGCACTCGGCCGGATTGGAGCGACAAGTGCCTTGGATGGCAACCGACATCGAACTTCACTTGCTGCCGCAGAGGGTAAGTGGTGAGCGCCTTTGGCAGAGCTTTTGTTTCTAATTTTGCACTTGTGTGCGCAATGTGGCCGCAAAAGGCCTACGCACGGAGGCAACCACCCACTTTCCCACCCCCTTCCTTCTCTGAACACCCAGCACCCAGTTTTCCCGCAAACAGAGAGCCATGTCAGTGGCCTGGGCCCTCTGGCTTCACTTCACTTTGTCCGCACAGAGCACACCCGTAGCGGACCACATGATAAATAATCGATAAATTATGTGGACACATGTTTAATCTAGCATGAAATGGAATCATTTCCCTTCAATTTGTTGTTAGCCAGGCCAGCAAAACAACAAAGCAAACAAGCGATACGAGCAGCAAAAAAAATGTATAGAAAAAACAGCGAACAGATGTGTTTTGGGTGCGTGTGTGTGTGGGGGGGAAGCCTATTTAAATATAAATAATGATCAAATTATAAACGCCAGCTAGTGTCCGGTGTCTGCTGACTAAACACGTCGTTGCTGCGAGCGAATTGTTTGCTCTGCACTAAATTATTGCGCATACGCCATGTTAACGCACTTGGCCAACTTGGCGCAGTGTCAACTTGTCTGTGTCTGTGTCTCAACTCCAGACAACATAGCTCGACTCTTCGACGCTGAATGATTCATTCATCATTTGCTTAATTGCATGCCAAACATTACAATTACCCAAACGACAGCTCAAAATGTCCACTGATGATGCGATGTTCTGGCCATTCCCACTACTTCTATCTACATCAGTGTCTGCCGTCTGGAGTTTCTTAATTAATATTTTATTTCATTAGCAGATTGGTCGTGAATGAATGACATGTTTCGTCACAGGATCCCAAGATTAAGCCACATTTGAAAAGCTTTTCGGGGGCCAAATGGACAAAATTGGCTGCGTAGCTAAACATTTTGAAATGAATACGAGCAAGCCAAGTTAATTGGCCTTGTCAATTGCTGTGGTGGTAGGAATTTAAATGTCCAAAAGAGCTGTTGAAAGGACTAAGCTGTGCAATTAGACTTCAGATATGACAGTTTTCTGCACTTCAAAGATGAAAACATATTATTTCGAAAGCCCATTTCTCATTTGGTTATCAAAAACTAATAACTCTTAAAGGAAAAAGCCTAAAATTAAATTTGCTTTAGGAATATTTCTAGATGTTGTTATTGTTTACTTATTTGTGATATATTTTAAATATTATTCTGCCAAGTATACTTCTTTTACTGCTACTGAATTTCCATCCGTTGGTAGATAATTAAGCACTTTGGTGTAGGCCTCTAGCCAATTTATATGCTTTTATTACGTACTCAAAACTACGCCCGAGTTGTCCCAATTCCATTCGCATGCCCGTACATCTGTCTGTTGTTTCTTTGTTCCGCACACAAAGGCAAAAGCATCGACACTGACAATGACTCGCTGGATATCCTTCATGCCTCCGTGGCGCTGCCTATAACAATGCCCCCACTTGTTGTTGTTTGCTCCCTGCGCGGCTTAATGTAATTGAACTTTTTCTAATTGACACTTGTCACTGGCAAAGACATTTAAAAAGCTACAGCGAAAAGAAATAAACTTAATTTTGACGCATTTACACATACATTTATTTCAATTTCCCGGCACAACAAAGGGAGCGAAGTAGTCGCAGTGGCAAACAAAACAATGCCGGCTCAACTACCACATAGACTTTCGCATCAGGATAACTACAGCCACCCATCCACTCACACAGATGGGCGGTGTATCTGTGTTTGTGGCACAATGGAAAACCCCTCGACAATGGCACACAAAACGTATCTCGGGCTGGCGAATTTATTGCACTGGTGTGAGTTTGAATGTGGATGGGAATGTGAATGGGAAGTCATACGAGTGGTTGCAGTCACCGCAAAGAAAAAGCTTCTGGAGCTGTTGGGAGCTGCTGCCGCTTCTGTTGCTGCGGCGACAGGTGGAGAACAGCAGGCTGCCGTCGTGGAGGACACAACTAAATACAAAAACCACGTGACAATGTTTCCCCCTTCCCACTCCACCACTCTGATGACGAGCGGTGGCTGAAGAGCAGACATTTCAGTGGTGCGGCGCACAGTTGGATGTATCCGTGTTGCCACCTACCAGTATCAACTTTGTGTCACAGTCGCAGAAAAGAAAACCGCACAGCAAATGCATCAAGCTGTGAGGGGCAGGCAGCTTGAAACAGACGGGTGAGCGCTGCAAAGCTGGATAACAGGGCGTATGCGTGATGTGTGGTTGCTTTAGGTTGAATTACAGTCGGAGGGGAAATTTAATCTAAGCAGGGGGAAATTTCTGATCCTAGATTGTCTTGACACATGATTGAAAAAAGAATAAGAAGGCTTTAAGGATGTGCTTAAAAATATGATATACAATAGTTGCATTTTTTAAATCATCCTATTCAAAACGCACATAACAGTGCTGACATTTTCTTAGTTAAATATTTAAAACACATTTTTATTTCAAGTAATTAATGGTTATTATATTTTTGTTCATTATTCCTCTTTTTTATTATGTTACTTTTAGGAAATTTCAATACTTTTTTTTACTAATCATTCGCGTTATTTGCACTTCGACTTTGAAATGCCCTTGTCTCTTATAATAGCTTTTCGTTAAATAATCGCAATTAAAGTTACTTCCTGCAGGACCCCTGAAATATGAATTGCATGACTTTACAAAAACACTGCCTGGGAATGGGCCCACATGTCGTATGCGCGTTATGCAGTGCACTTCGTTAAATCCAATAACAAGACAGACAGCGCCCACAACAACAACAACAACAACAACAAGAACATCAACATGGGGAGCAGCTAAAATAACATACAATCAACAGAGACAGTTAGACAAGACAGGCAACCCTCAAAAAAGAGTCCTTGCTGTTTTCTTTTTTTTTTTTTTTTGCCAGCAGAGGGCAAATGAAAAGCGGAAGGACGAGGAGCAGCGGAAGAAGACAGCTGCCATCCAATGGTAATTGACAGAAGTCGCTCAGAGGAACGTACTCGTTGAACTCCGGCCTGCACTTGCAATGATAATGTCAAACTGATTTCACTACAACTCCAGACCAGACAACTTTCCTGCGGTTACCCATTTTAATCCAACCGCAAAAGGGTTGTTTTTAAAACCATGTTGGGAAATTCAACCAAAAAATGTATAAATCATTCAGAGGTACATGGGAATCAAGAATGCAAAGCCTGCAGCGACATATGAGTGAAATATAAACCCGGGCCGAAAGTCGAACGAACACAACGCAAACGTTATGGATCGCTGCAGACACGTGCCGGTGTGTCTGGGAAATATTTTTCTTTCATTGCTCACGGACATCGTTAGCCCAAATTGTTGTGAGCCGGCGGAAACAGCAGGAGGTGGCAAAATTCTGGGCTAATGCCAGGACCTCAAATCAAAGGCAGCCAGAAATCAAGTTGACGGAGGGAAAACCCCGACAACTAAAGTTCAAAAGCGTTCGTTAACCAGTTGGGGCAATCAAGTTTTGGGAGAAGAAAGCCAGAATTA